CCATCCCTGCGGCATCCCTGGGTGTCCCGCGTGGTCCCTGTTCCGTGGTGTCCCCATGTCCCCCAGGAAGCATCCTGCATCCCTTGGTGTCCCACCTAGCCCTGGTCCCCCTCACCAGGTGTCCCACGTGGTCCATGTCCCCATGGTGTCCCCATGTCCCCCAAGAAGCGTCCTGCATCCCTTGGTGTCCCACCTGGTCCATGTCCCCTCCAAGCATCCCACCCAGCCCATGTCCTCGTGGTGTCCCAAGCGTCTCCCCCAGCCTGTGACCCTGCATCTCCTCTGTGTGTCCCCCCAGGGTCCCACTGTCCCCAGTGACCTATGGTTTCTCATCAAAGGACAAATTATTGGATGGTTCTCATTTTTTGTCCCTTCACTCTGCATTCTTCCTCTCTTCTCCTAGATCTTTGACCTAATTCCCATTTTTTTTGCTTCTCTTGGCTGTGGCAGGTAATAGGTATTGACTCAGAAGCGAAACATGGTTTGTTGTTGTTGCTTTGTGCTTTTTCTTCTGCTTGGCCTGTAAGAGCCTCTTTGATCCTGGCCCGCCCGGTTACCTGTGCGAGTTTAAAGTCTGCGCTGGCAAGTGTTGATTGATATCCCTGGGGATTGATGTCCCCCATTTGCCTCTTCCTTTTTAGTTCAGTTGGTGTGGAGGGGAGAAAAAAGAAAAAGGGGAGTTTCTTTACTTTGCTGCTTTTGGAAAACAGCACTCATTTTTATTGACTTTAGGTAGGTGTAGGATTTACTGCTGGCATGCATATTGCTATGGCTAATTTTCTAGTAGTCTTGTAGTACTATTTATATGCCTAAGTGTGGTGCTACATAGATTTCAGTATTATTTTGTGTCTGAAAAGGCCACCTAAGAAGCAATGATATTAAAATGTACATAAGTGGTGATTTGCCAGATATATCACGTGAATGAAAGGAGAGATTTGAAGTGCAGGAAGTTCTGGATGAAATACCTGGCCTTTTTCTGTAAATAATTTTATGTGAATTCTTATTGCTTGAACAGTGCTGTTTGTCTTATTCTGTTTGTAGATACGGATTGTATAGTTCACCCTTTGATCCGGTTCTCTTTGATTTGGAAATAAGTGGATCTTCATGTAAAAATGTGTACAACAGCAGCACTGGAGTGCAGTCAGACGAAATTGATTTGTCTGATGTCCTCTCAGGTACGTACGTTTAACCTGCTGGGAAGAATTGGTAAGTGTCTCAGTTGCCTCAAGACACAGTTTCATACTTCCTATCTGTTTTATAGCTGTGCATAATGAGGTTCAAGAAGATTAAGATCCTCTTGCTTCATGAGATCCATTACATTTCCCATGGCCCTTAGGGCAAGAAAGAAAGCCTTTTCCTGGAATTCATATTTTTCTGGTCCAATGAAAGAGCTAGGAAAAGGGTAGAGATTAAACAGAAAGGCTGCTGTGGTTCAGTGGGTCAAAGTCATCTGTCACTTGTATTGAGCAGCTTCCCTCAGATATGTCTTAGCTCATTTAGAGTAGCAAGCAGCTCATAGGCAGAAAAGCCTAAATGGCTTTTTCTGGGCTTGGGAAGCTTCGAGGTGGCATGCTTCTACTTAGACATATTTGCATCCGTCCTCAGGTCAGTTCATAAGTGAGTCTTGCTGTGGAATTTCCCAGGCAATTCTTATTGTTAGAAGATTCTTCCTTTCATAGCCAACATATGCATTAATCAGTGATTCGTTTCCTTTTTTAGATGCTTTTGTCTATCACCTTGCCTTCCCTTCTTTCCCCCTATATGACATGTTGTCAGGATTAAGATGATAAATAATAGTGTAGTTTTGATATGAAATTTTTCATGACCTTGGGCCTGTGTTTTTCTTCTTTTCCACGAATACCCATATATTTTTGCAAGTTAGCTTTTTGATAGTAAAATTCGTAATTAAATATGAGAAGAATAGAGCATCTGTATGTATTCTCATTCTGGAATTAAGACAGTTATGTTTTGTGTTATGCTTTTACAATCGTGTGATAGTTTGACTTCAGAAACTTTTTTTTCAGAGTTGGCAGCATTATCCATTTTTCAGATAAGCTTTCATTTAAATTGTATATGTGATGGTGTAAGTGTGCTTCTTCCACAACATCGAGTAAGAAAAAAAAATGGATTATATTTAGTTGACTCTTTCAACTATTCATTAAGAAAACGTTTGATTATAGAGAGACATTTATTTCTCTCACAGGAAATGGGAAAATAAGTAGCTGTGCAGCTGCTGAAGGTAGTTTTACGTCCCTTACTGGACTTCTGGAAGTTGAACCTTTGCACTTTACCTGCGTTTCAACAAGTGATGGAACTAGAATAGAAAGGGACGATGCAAGTACGTTTACTGGTATATACAAGTTTTTATTATTTCTACTTAGCATAAGCTCACAATACACTGTTTTGAGTTTGAGGTAATGAGCACTATTTTACATGCAGATTGTTAATAGTTTTATAAATGTAGTTTTTTTGTTTGTATGTATTAATAACAAAATGCTCTGTTAAACTTCTTTTGGAGCATAACAAAAACTGAATTTCAAATTTAGATGCATGTATGAATTTGTTCCTATCGCCTATTTAATCGCCAATATTAATTGTCATTAATATAATATCTAGGCTTGCATGTTTGCCTTGCAGACTTATGTGGCAGTAGTAGTCCAGGGCAAATGGAAATTGTAATGGAATGGAAATTGTAATGGAAATTGTAAATGGAATTTGTAATGGAAATGTTGCATGTATGTTGAGCGTGTATAGTTTATAAACTGACAGTATGAAATTCAAGATCTTACTTTATAGTGAGAGCTCAGTACAATGAAATATTTCTCTTTATATATATATATATATATATATTTTAACACAGCATTTAACAATTACTGAGGACTTAAAAGGTGTTTCCTTTCCTTTCTTTTCTACATACATGGTTTTGGTTTTGTTCTGTTTTCTTTTTCATGCCAGTGAGTACTTTTGGGGTTACCCCAGCAGTTGGTGGCCTCTCATCTGGAACGGTTGGGGAAGCGTCGACCGCACTGAGTTCAGCAGCCCAGGTAGCTTTGCAGTCTCTCTCTCATGCAATGGCTTCAGCCGAGCAACAGCTCCAGGTGCTGCAAGAGAAACAGCAGCAGCTTTTGAAACTTCAGCAACAGGTTGGAGGCTATTTGGCTATTTTTTCGTGCTGTCTCTAAACATCAAAAGCTGAGAAAGTAGTTGCACAAAGCGAGGAACTCTTTTTATTTTTCTTTTTTTTTTAATTTATTCTTTCTCTCCCCACTTCCATTTTGATAGTGTATTTAGGGAAGGAACAGCTCTGGACTGAGAATCGCTCCTATTAAGCAAAATGCTAAGAATGCATCCTATGTCACTTCGGTCTTTTAAAATCCCTCTTTTTGAGGGTGGAGGGGGTGTTTTGATGGCTAACCATATAAACTGAGACTTAGTTTTACAGACAGTTTATGAAATTGAGAAACCCAGCTGAAAAAAGGGTAGTTGGTGATACAGGGAAATACTCCATGGTAAAGCCATTGTCAGTATGCAGCTTTATTTTGTTGGCTCTGAAGTCTCGCTGAGTTGCACAGTCATTTATTTTTTAATTATTTTTGATTACTCCAATTGATTACTCACGTTCAGAAGCAAAGGAAGTCAAATTGAATACAGTTTCATTCTTCAGTTTATTGTGGATATTTGATGTACCCACCCATGCTCAGGGTAGCTTGCATTTATTAAATCTAATTTATAAGGAACACTGAACTTTATAGCATTCAATATTACTGTATTCTCAGCAATATTGTTCTCAGTTACTTTCAGTGCTTTCCTTTTCCCCACAGAAAGCTAAGCTGGAAGCAAAGCTACATCAGACAACAGCGGTAGCTGCAGCAGTAGCAGCATCAGCAGTTGGTCCTGTTCACAACTCTGTGCCTTCTAATCCAGTTGCAGCCCCAGGGTTCTTTATTCATCCTTCAGATGTCATTCCACCCACACCAAAAACAACTCCTCTGTTCATGACTCCACCTTTGACTCCACCTAATGAAGCAGTTTCTGCAGTTATCAATGCGGAGCTTGCTCAACTTTTCCCTGGTTCAGTCATTGATCCTCCAGCTGTTAATCTTGCTGCTCACAACAAAAATACAAGCAAGTCCAGAACGGTAATTACTGTTGTTTTTGTAGCAATGAGATGCTGTGAACCTTCTCAGGATGTGATTTGTATGTGTGTACTAGAAAATATCTGTTCATCAAGGTGGTATTTTTTGGCCTGACTTTTAGGCCAGATGAAGAGAGTATATGAAAATAAAGTTATTGTAATAACTCATTTTTCTCTTCTGTAGAATGAAGGTTTACTGTGTAACCAGTTATTAAACCTTTGAACCTGACGGGTAGTCATGCTCAAATGAAAATATAGTGCAGGCGTTGTCAGAAATTATAGATTTTTAAGTCGCAAGAAGTAGATTTAATTTTCATATCTTTTGTAAAGAACAGCTATTATAAGTTTATAGATTTTAATGACTTAATTTTACTGATGTTTTTCCCCTCCTCAGAATCCACTTGGATCTGGTCTTGCTCTTGCAATATCTCATGCTTCACACTTTCTTCAACCCCCACCTCATCAGTCAATTATTATAGAGCGAATGCACTCAGGTAAAACCAGAATTCCTAATAATTATTTTGCTAAAGATTTTCTAATAAAGAAGTTGAACATTTTCCAGGATTGTAAGACAGCTGCTTAGATGCAGTTCACTTGGCTTTTGTGAAGAAACGTTACTTCCGAATTTACATTTGCATTGTACCAGAAGGTTTAAGCCCCAGCATTCAGTGAGGTTTATCAGGTGAACATCCTGGGGGGAGTTGCATGTTGGGTCTCCAGTCAGAGTACCAGCCCTGAAGTAATGCACACAAGGCATAACAAATGGGCTTGAACCTGAAATTTTCTTTTCAAAGTGTGTGAGCTGTAAAGAAGAAGGCATATATTAGTCCTGTGGCTCAGAACAATTCCTGCAAGCTTGAAATTGTATGTTGAACCTCCAATACAGGGCTTCTGAACAGTAAACGGGAAATTTGTTGTTTGAAGAATTCCCTCTGTTGGTTGACTAGCTTGTGCTGATACTCTAGGTAAACGTACGTTTTTTCCATAGGAGCAAGAAGATTTGTGACATTGGATTTTGGAAGACCTATATTGCTGACAGATGTATTGATCCCTACATGTGGCGATTTGGCTTCTTTGTCAATTGACATCTGGACTTTAGGCGAAGAAGTGGACGGGAGGCGGCTGGTAGTGGCTACGGACATTAGCACCCACTCCCTTATCCTACATGATTTGCTGCCACCCCCAGTTTGCAGGTTCATGAAGGTAAAAGGAGGAAGACAACATAATCTCTCTTCTAAACTCTTGGTCTTTATTAGTGTATGAGCTTTCTGTTTAAACCCTCATCAGATCAAATTTTACTTAACTTTTTTTTCCTATGATTTCTTTTTTTTTTTTTTTCGTCTTACCTGTTTTGATACAATCTCGTTACAGTAAAGGCTCTGCTTTCTTTCAGATCACTGTTATTGGTCGATATGGTAGTACAAATGCCAGAGCAAAAATCCCATTAGGATTTTACTACGGTCATACCTATATCTTGCCCTTTGAAAATGAGCTGAAGCTCATGCATGATCCCCTCAGAGGAGAAGGTGAAGCTTCAAATCAGCCAGAAATTGACCAACATTTGGCAATGATGGTTGCATTGCAAGAAGACATACAGTGCAGGTTAGAAGAAAATAAGCATATTTACTAATTATTTCTACTTATTTTAACTTATAACACTGGAATATCTTTAAATATATTATTTCCACGGCCTTCAGATCAGAGACAACTCTAGCTTGTGTGTTAGAGCTTTTACAGTGAGTATTTTTATAGCAATAACAAAAATGCTATCCCATACTATTTCAGTATCTGTATCTAGCAGTTCAGGGATCAGAATTCACATTCTGTTAGTGTGAGTATCAGGTGTATCAGGTGAATAGCATTGCTCTGTTCTGATGTATGTTGAACTGTGTGCTGGAATGTTTTCATCTAGGTACAACTTGGCTTGTCATCGGTTGGAAATCCTTCTGCAAAGCATCGACCTTCCTCCTCTCAATAGTGCTAACAATGCCCAGTACTTTTTACGAAAGCCAGACAAGGCAGTAGAAGAAGATAGCAGGGTATTTTCTGCTTACCAAGACTGCATTCAGCTACAGCTTCAACTCAATTTGGCTCACCATGCTGTTCAGAGGCTCAAAGTAGCTTTAGGTGCAAGCAGAAAAACACTGAAGGAGCAATCTGACCCAAAAGAGTTGATTCAGATGTCATCCACAGAACAGTTACGCACCATCATTAGATACTTACTGGATACTTTGCTCAGTTTGCTTCATTCTTCCAATGGTTAGTATTTTTTTCAGGTTTTATTATTTTTATCGTGTCACGTTTTAGAAGTGATAATATTTCTCTGTTTGTACTATCTCACTGCAAATTTTTTAAACTGTCTTTAGATATGTGTTAATAGGATTTTAATTTCAGATAACATACAGTGTACAATTGCACCAAATGGACCGAGCTGGCCTAACAGCTTCTTGCTGCCAAAAAAAGAAGGCAGAGAGAGGAGTTGCCTTTCTCTCTTCCCCTGCTTCTCCTTTCTGTTAGTCCTGGCTGCATGTTTGTGTGTTCAGACACTGCTCTGATCCTTCTGTGAACTGATTTTGTGGCAAATGGCTACCCAGGCCGAATGCCCAAGCTGTTTCTATGGGTTGAAGGAGCTCCTGGAAGGATCTGTGAACAATGCAGCTGGTGCAACACTGGGGACAGATTAGGCAGTTAGAATTGGAATGGGGAAATGGGAATGAGTTATAGAGAAATCAGTAATAAAACTACTATCTCTACTCAGCCCATGATTTTTAATATGCAGTAAGGACTTTTCCATTCTAAACTTCTCGTTGGAGGTGTTCTTGAAGAATCAGAATAGAAATGTCTGAGTGGGAGTGGGTTTTTTTTTCTGTTTGTTTTAAACTCTGGTACATTCTTCTTCTGATAGATATATCTGTTGTGCAGTGTTTCCTTTGCAATGTGCCAGCTTGTTCTTAAAACAGATTGTTGTTTTGGCTTTGCAGTTTCTGTGGGGGCTTTTGATTCACCGATGTGAAGTTGGTTTTATTTTGATCTCTTTGGCTTGGTCTTTTTGATTTACCTGCTCATAGTCTCCCTCTCTCTACCCCCACAGGGTCTATTAGTCTGATCATAATAGTTAAAATGTTCCTACAAACCTTTTCCTCCTATACCTTCAAGCCCTCGTGTCTGAAATACCTTTGTATTCTCTTCTTAAATGTAGTTTTGTGTTCCTTTTTCTTAAAAGGACACTCTGTTCCTGTGGTTCTGCAAAGTACTTTTCATGCTCAAGCTTGTGAGGAATTATTTAAACACCTGTGTATAAGTGGAACTCCAAAGATAAGATTGCATACTGGCCTTCTACTTGTTCAGTTGTGTGGAGGAGAAAGATGGTGGGGCCAGTTTCTTTCAAATGTGCTACAGGAATTGTACAATTCGGAGCAACTTCTCATATTCCCACAGGACAGGTAAGTGCAAGTCTTCGTTGTATGCTATTACCTGTGCATCACTTAAATACTGTTGAGGTTCATGGCTTTCATCTGGACTGATGAAAAAGTATGCTTGTTTACCTGTTAAAAACTAACTTCAAAACAGCAATGCAAGTGCTAAGTGTCTGGTGGCAGCTGTTTCATTATTTGGTGCTGTGACTACAGTAAGTCACAGTTCCCCTTTACTTGGAAGGGGCTGGGCAGAGATTGCTGGAGAACGTTGCTGTTGCTTGCGCACGCAGCAGGGCTGCTCTGCGCTGATGGAAATGGCCTTCTCCTTTATCAGGATAAATGCACCCTGGGCCCAGAGCTGCTCTTTCAGAGCTTTTGGAGGTAGGAATGAGACTGAAAAGCCCACTGTTAGCATTTGAAACAAAAGGCTTCTCTGAGATGAGACCAAACAAACAACTGCAGAGCGGAGAATTAAATGTTGTATGTGGTGATCTTTTCAGATTGTTGATTCAAGTCTTTATAAGAAAATGGTAAACATGGTTAGAATATTAGTGAAACGTATTTGCTGTTTTGTAGCATTCTGCCTTCTTTGAGTTGTAATATCGATGGTTTTATACTTTTTATAAATAGATTAATTTAAGGAAGCAAGAATATTGGATTTAATTCCTGTTATTCAGTTCATTGTATTTAATAAGAAATAAATAGATAATGTTGTGTTTCAAAACATGTGCAAAGTGGGTCAGAGCAAGTAGCTGCTGACCTCTTGAGGATAAAAGAGAGACTGAGAAACCTAAAATGCCACATTATTGTCGTCTTATTGCAATAGAATTTGGAATCCAGTTAACTGGCTGGGCCACAGTACTGATTTTTTTTTTTTTAACAATGTGTGTCTCAGTGTCTAGGGGAACATCATTCCATAAGGTGTGTTTCAGAACATCACTGAATCAGGGGAAAAAAATAAAATAAACTCTTAAATATTGAAATTTTGTTTTTAGGGTCTTCATGTTGCTTTCATGCATTGGCCAAAGATCACTTAGCAACAGTGGCGTTTTAGAAAGTTTACTTAATCTTCTGGATAACCTGCTGTCACCACTGCAACCTCATTTACCTGTGCACAGAAGAACTGAAGGTAGCCCTCTAATTTGGAAGCTATACTTTCCTGTATATTTTCTTTCAAATTTTTGTAAATTGGGGGGAGGGAAATCTGGTGTGTAAGCAGCTCTACTGACTTACTTCGGATTTAAAACTTTTTGTTGTTGTTCATGAGATCTATTCTAAGTTACAAGCATTTGAAATGAAATGCAGCTGCTGAAGAGAACTTTATTAGATGTATTCTTATGCTTATCGCAGACTACTAGGGTATTCTCAGGCGTGTGTTTTTTGGATATTTTTGTAAACACAAGGATCTTGCATCTTGACTCTTCCAAAGAAATACTGAAATGATATTCTACAGACTTGATTTTTTTGAGTGTTTTCTCAACTGCCCTAAGTTTGAAGAAAATGCTTGATTTCGAAAACATCCAGCTCTGGGCTACTGTATAACCTATGTGCATGTAGCAATACATGGTGGAAGAAAAGTTCTAGAGTTGTGAAGTTGGTAAATGCCAACTGAGACTCTGTTGTTACTTTTTACCCTGTCTCCTGATGCAACCAAGACCACAACGGATGTCAGAAGCTGTCCTATTGCTTCCCCTTGGTCTGCCATGTACTTTCCTTCTCTTGGCCATATCCTGCTATAGTCTCTAACTAGTTTGAGGCAAATCCAAGCTTACATCTCCTCTACTTCTGTTTGCACTCTCCCCACAGCTGCCAATTCCTTTCATAGTTCTTGCCTTACTAGTTGTCCTCACGGAGGACTTTAGGAAGCAGGAGAAGTAACTGATACTTCCGAGCTTTATTTGCTGGTCTTCCAGCTTCCTTTCTCCTGGACAGTGCAGGTGAGTACTAGGGCATTACTATGTGTGATAGAAGCATCAGGTATGGCAGAAGAAATCTTTATTTGAGAGCTATCAAGAGTAAGGGTCAATGGGGTGAAAAATTACTGGGGCAGAAAGGTCAGAAAACAAAGGACAATCAGAAAAGAGGTGAGTGTTATGGGTAGATAAAATCTATAAAATTGGAGGCAGAGGTAGAAGAAAAGAATAAGCAAAAATCATTGTGGGGAGGGAGAGAAGAGTTGAAAATTTAGTTTTAAGAGACAGGAAAAGAAATGCAAGTGTTTAAATAGAAATATAAAAGGGTGTATAATTTATTCCACAGCAGACTCTCTGTTTTTATTCTGCAAACCACAGTGGTCATCACTAAAGAGATCTGTTCCTCTTCTTGCCATTTGGTCTGCAGTCATGTTATTGAAAGGCCTCCTATTTGCCATTTGGTCTGCAGTCATGTTATTGAAAGGCCTCCTATTCCTCTGCCTCCTGGAGGTGGACTGCTTTCTTACCAATATTAAGGATTCTAGAGCAAAAACTCAGGGCATAGATCCTATTGCTTAGCCTGCCAAGAACTAGACATGACTTCGGACAAGCAATTTCTGTGCCTTGGCTTTCTTGTTTGATCCAGAAATAACAATAGTTGAAGTTCACTAAAGCTTTTCTGAGATCACTGCATGGAAACTGTCATATAATTAGAAATGGCTCAGCAGTATGCATATCTTTGAAATTTTGTATATAACCTGTAGTATTAATAACTTTGCATTATTGGTATTATCTGAAAGTATGCAGTTTGTGTTGTGACAGTGTTCGCGTGGTCGTGAACTGTAGGTTCATGGGTAGGTTTGAATGATTTCACTTTAGAGCTACTCATTTAAATTTACTCACACATACACAGAGTTATCTTGTAAGATGTATAATCTCTGGTTTTTTTTATATATCTGCCTGTACAGAAATATATGCATTTAATGCATGAGAGTGAAACAAGCAATAGCTAGTTATTATTGCCACCAGCATGTTCCATCTATTCTCTGTTCAGTCTTGGCTTTCCCTTATTTGATTAAGATGACTGCCTGAAAATAGACTAAAAAGGGATAAAAATGAAACTAGTTGGATGCAAGGATATAACTGTCTTATTACTTCTGGGATTTTATGCGACTGTCTCATTAGAGTCTTGGTTGACGGAGGAATTTCACACTGTGGAATTTGAATCATCTAATTTATATGCTTTAATTCAGGCACCTGTCATTCTGTATTTGCATCGAGGAAGTTTAGTCTTATCATTTTAGATTTCTTTTTTTAATTGCCACTTAATTGCTTTAGCAATAGAGAGGAGGATTTTCCCTTCCTCTCCATCTGACTAGAATTGTGACTTCTACTTTCGCACTTTAGTTCTACAGCAAATGTTTGATTTCCTCCCACATTCATGAGTGCTCGGATTATGAAGAAAAAGCAGTACTTTTGAGTGGAAAACAAAAAAAAACACAAAACATAAATCTAAATCTTTGTGGTGCAGTGAAATGTGTTTCAGTGTTTCATATAATGTCTTTTTGTGATTTCTTTTAAAAGTATCTTGCTATGGCTTCAAAACTTTATTAAGACACTCAAGTCTATTTCTTTTTAAGGAGTATTAGACATTCCCATGATCAGCTGGGTTGTAATGCTGGTATCCAGACTGCTGGATTATGTAGCTACTGTTGAAGATGAAGCAGCCACAGCTAAGAAGCCTTTGAATGGAAAAGAGAGGGAACGATTTGTGACAGGTATGTACTGTGTTTTCAACTACATATCATAACCTTGTTTTATGGATATACATTTTTAGAGCAGTTAATTTTTTTAAAAAAATATAGTATTTTCAATTCACTTAAAAATGGGTTTTAGGAACAGATGTTTCGATCACTTTATTTGCACTCAGAGGCCTGCTTCTTTATCTTCTCTTTCACTCGGAAACCTGACATAGATAGATAGGTGTGTGTGTGTTTACACATTTTTATCTATCTTTCTCTTTCTTCCAACTGATAGATTAAGAACTTGATTTTATTTTCTAAAATACTATATGCTGTTATTAGGACTTGAGAGACTTCCATTTTGAGGCAATTTGTATTGTGAGAATGAGCAAAGGTATGACATGACACATATTTTGGTATTTGCCATGGCATTTGCAACCAGTATATGTTTAAGTTCGATTTTTTGTTGTTGTTGTTAATATTTACGTAGATCATCTATGTTTTTTTTCAAATAGCTTGCCTAAAAGTAAAAATCTAAAAGCTTTCCCATTATGGAGGTTGTTCAGGTGTTTTTAGCTGGGGAATTCTTGCTTATATATCTTTAAAAGAATGAAAACGGATAATGCCACTGCTTTTTAAAATTCCTATAACTATCAGTATGACAGTTGCATGACACTAGCAATTATTTTGCTTATTTCTTCAGTGTTTAGTATATGTAGATTTTAACTGTTATTACATTGTAAATATTTTTATTTTCTCGGACGTTAGGTGAAGCTTAAGATGAATTAATATATTTTCTTTTTTTTTGCATTAGGAAACCAGTGGAGTTTTATTAATAACAGCCTTCACACTCAGAGTTTGAGCAGATCTACTAAAGGCAACAGTAGCCTAGACAGACTATATTCCAGAAAGATCAGAAAACAGCTTGTTCATCATAAACAGGTGACTTTCAGCATAATACTGGCTGTTTTCATGGAAGACACTTACATCTTATTATTTGAAAAAACAGCTTTGGCCTTGGGACTCATACACCTTGTTTTTGCATAGGTCTGGTTCTGTAGCTGAAGGCCGCCTCTCCTCTTTGACATTTGTCTCAAACTGTGGGGCATGGGATTTGCTGGAAGTACAAATCCTGGAGTGTACTGCTGCTCTCTGCGACCCATATTTAATAATAAATTTATTTTCTAGATAAATTTGGGTACATTTGAGTTGCCAGCTCAGAGATTGTACAGGGCAATCTCTGTGCACAGAGAGCAGAGATTTAACGGTTGATAATTCTTAAGATACTGTTTAGAAACAAAAATTTCATACTTTACTGATTTTATGACCCTTGTCTCATTGTGTTTTGAGTTTATTTTAAAATACTAGTGTTTTTTGTTTGTTTGTTTGTTTTAAAGCATCATTCATTCTAAGTCTACCAGTGGTCCCTCAGTAAACGTTGTGTATAAGCTATATTAGAAAAGTTCAAGGTGCAGTTTGAACTGAAGATTACTTTCATGTATAAACACTTATCCTTTTAACATCTTATTGCTTAAATTTTCATGTTTTCCTATTAACATTTTCTTTTAGCAACTTAACTTATTAAAAGCAAAGCAGAAGGCTTTGGTGGAACAGATGGAAAAAGAGAAAATACAAAGCAACAAAGGATCATCATATAAACTTTTAGTAGAACAGGCAAAACTAAAGCAGGCTACTTCAAAGGTATGATGCTCTGAAACTGTAACTGACTTCTTGCCCTTTGTGTGAAAACACCTGTTCCTGCAAAGTCACTTTTGTCTTAGGTTGATCTTATTTTTAAAAAGTGTTTCATCCTGGCTGTTATCACAGATATTTTGTTTGCTGAATACAGCCACAATTTGGAAATGTCTTGCTTTGGGAAAAATAGCTGATCTTCTACAGAGACTTCAGAGTTGATCTTAGGCAAAATCACTTGCAATCCTGTACATTTGGGAATATGATCCATATATTTAAACTTTTGGGTAACATATACAGATAAAAAGTGTAAAATAATATTTTAGATAGCTGAGAGATGCTTTTAGAGAGCTAAGAGATAGTGCATGAGATTCTTCTGGAGGCTGTCCTAGTTGGGAAGCCAGAAGTTAGTTTTCACAGAAGGTGTTCTCCCCAGATCAGTAATTCCTGCTTTTGGGAATACGCTCTGAGCTTTCTCAGAAGCTTCTTGGCTTTCTAAAAACACATATCATGTAAATTATGGCATCTTCTAGTAAGTTCCGGGTACTGAGGGAGGCTGTGCTGGTACAAGCATGATTTTGGTTATGAAACAAAGGTTTGAGATTTAGGGATTACTGCAGATGGCAACATGGGCTTTGCAGGGAATAGAAAACGATGCAATTCCTTTTAGCTCTCAGTTTGAGTATCCCTTTAAATATCTACTGTGTGATTCCAGGAGTGATGCTGTCTGTTAGGATGACTGGAAGTAGGACTGCAGAAGGAGGCTGTAGAATATTGGACCTTCAGGGCATTCTGAACAGAAATTTCACAACACCTTGCAGTAATTTGCCAACCCTCCCTCCTCAAAGGGTTAAACACCGGCATATTTTTGTGAGCCCTATGTTTACACTAACTCTGCTTGTCATGAGCTATTCTTTCCTTTTTTCTGCTCTATTCTGATGGATTTTTATCAGTGCCCCCCTTAAAACATCTTTTGATGACTCACTGGCTGAAATATGCTGCCAAGTTAAGCTACATAGGTTTCACTTTACAACAGCCATGGTGCATTCAGAAAAGCATGTCAAGCTAGAGTCTTCCACTTGAAATACCGTAACTACTAGCCATGGTTTTACTGTACATGTGGTAAATCACATTTCATGCAGGTTTTACTACTTCATCTACTAATCACTTTCTGTTGTTACAAGCAATGAGTAACTTAAACATTTGTTGCATTTGGGAAAAGGCTGAAACATTTGCCTTGGTAAACAGCTCTTTCTATGGTCTCTACTTAAGTATCCAGTACTTAAGTGAGGGGCATTTGTATTATTTAATCTTAGACTGCTTGTGTGGTTGATCCAATGAACTGAACTGCTAAATGAGTGCCTTTGGGTTGGAGGATTAAAAGCACCTACTTTTCTCCACTGGATTTGTAGACCCTGTGTCTAGAATGTGGTAGCTCAGAACTTTGGGTTTCAGAACAGCTCAGTTTGCAGTGGCTGATTGCCACTTTATGATTTCTAAGCGTTAAGGATTACAGTTCTGGAGTATCAATTACTGTGAAATATACAGTAATGTTTCTGAAGTTTAAATTTGACTGGAAATTGTCTGCTTAAGAGTATAAAAGAACTTTTGCTTACAGGCTTTAATCTGATTTGAGAAAGTGCTGGTGATTGCTAAGAAGTCAGCATCCTTTTAAGGGTAGATATCCATTTTAGCCATTTTTCTATGTGGTTGGATCCATGGTAGCCCTCACTCTATATGTGGGTCTGGAAGTAAGAAGAAAAAATCCTAAAATGTGCATACTTTTTATATATTTTATGGCAAACAAAGGCTTTACTGGCATTTGTTGTGAGGAACAGAATAAGTTGGTTATGATGCTGTTGCTTGCTGTGCCATGCCAAACCAAATTTGTTCCAATAAAAACTTAATTCTGTTCCAAACTCTCATGTGTTCCTAGACTGTTCTTTGCTTTTCAAAGGTTTATGGCTATTGTTGTAGCTTTACATTTTCACTAGAGAAAGGCCAAGTGGTTCTTTTTCATCTGTGTAACCATTAATTTAATAATTTTTGCAGCACTTCAAGGACTTAATACGCTTACGTCGGACTGCTGAATGGCCTCGTTCTACATTAGATACAGAAGTATCAGCAGCTAAAGAAACTCCAGATATCGAACCACTTCCATTTACACTGGCACATGAACGTTGTATTTCTGTGGTGCAGAAGCTGGCACTGTTTCTCTTGTCCATGGACTTTACGTGTCATGCAGATTTACTTCTGTTTGTTTGTAAGGTAAAGAGAATGGAAAGCATCTTTCTATGCTTGCAGTAGAGACCACATTATATTAGCTTTCTGACTGGTTTTTGCTTACGTGGTAGCCTTAGCATTTTTAATAATTTTTAGCGATAGTATGTTTTCTGATTTGTCAGCTTTTGGGTAATACGTCATGATACCATGGTATCAAAATTGTCTAGAAAAAGGTAGGTTTTCAGAAGGCTTTTGTGTCAGGATGTTTGTACAGTACTAAAATTGCTAACCTTAATAAGTTCTTTGGATTTTGCTTTTCAAAAAGCTGATTTAGCCTCATCAGAGTAAATCAGAAAACTAAAGTAGAATTTTGAAGTGTAAATGCTACTAGAGTGATTTTTCTGAATGGGGTTTTCAGATTCTGGCTTGTTTCTCCCCTCTTCATCCTCGAGAAAAAAGATTTAAGAACCGAAGCTGTGATTTATCTCCTTTTGTCTTTAGAACATCAAGCATACAGGAATTTAAGTGTTCTGTAAGATGAAAAACAAAGACTTAGTGGGAATACTGAGTAACAGACTAGGGGTTGCAGGATGAATTTCCTACTGAAAAAGCTAAGGAAACTTAAAAAAGAAAAAAAAGGATATTTTATAGCTCACACTACAGAAAAAAGACTTTCTTGGGGAATCTAAGGAGAGGATAATATTGGCTGGTGAAGTAAAAGTCAAATCTGCTTTCCAGCCTTTTTCTTCATAGGAACCATTATAGTGCTTCAAAATCAAAACTTTTTCAGCCTCTCAATAAACCCTACTACTGGGGAAGGCTGGGGAACAGTCCCCCCTGGTTAGAGTGTCTTGATGAACATTGTGTCACGAAGACATCGGTGAACTCTTTTCAAATTGGAGGTCTCTACAGATGATTGTTGAAGCTGAACTCCAATTTATAGATAACCTGACAAAAATTAGGTTTTAACAGTTAAGCCTGTTACACTCTAGACCTACTTAAATCCCATGGCTGCCTAACACTTCATCTGTTCTGTAAGTGAAATGTAGGATGCCTTTTTCTAGAGTAGGAAAAATGTCTGGAATATACTGTGTTTACTACTTAGTGCTGTAAAGTGTCGACATTGTAAAATATCCAAATGTGCTATGACTGCATGGGTTAAGTGTTGCACTATAGGAAGACTTGACTCTCAAAGCACTTGAAGTTCCACCCAGCTCCATCGTCTTTGATGGTTCTTGTTGGTAATCCTGCTCAGTATTCTTAACTGATACATTTTTGCCCATCACTTTTTATCAATAAAATCTTGAAACCGATATCTCAAATTAGATAAGTGTTACGTATTTTTAAATGAGGGTGATCCATGACCTTAATATGGACAGTCAATTTTAACATGCTTTATTCAACTCTGAAGTATAAGAAATGGAGTAGTGCTGCAGTTACATCTTCCATTCCAAAATTGCCCAATTTTTGAAGACTGCAGGAAACCATAAAGTATTTTTGTAGCATTATGTTTCTGTAACAACATTCCTAAGGCTAGTAAGGCATTTTTAAAAAAGGATACGTGTAACTAAATGACAGGAGAGAATAGAGAGTAAAGTGGTACTCTTGTGCCAGAGATGATGGACCATGAAATCATTTGTGGATGGACAGTGAAAAGTCCCCAGCAATAAAGTAGAGGTGAATTTCATACATAAAATGTGGGGCTACAGTTTGCCGCTTTTCAGGAAGGCTGATATTTGGATATTTTGTGTTCATTTTCTTTTTTTTTTTTTTTTTTTTCTTCAAGTAGCACAGTTTGGTATCTCTACTTGTTGAGAACTTTGTCTTGATGTTGATATATTAATTCTTAAGGGAGAACTCAATATAATTTATATTTCTACTTTTTTTTTCTAGGTACTTGCTAGAATTGCAAATGCTACAAGGCCAACAATACATTTGTGTGAGATTGTGAATGAAACTCAGCTGGAAAGACTGTTGTTGCTTCTGGTTGGGACCGACTTTAACAGAGGAGACATCTCCTGGGGAGGAGCATGGGCTCAATATTCTCTGACTTGCATGCTGCAGGATATTTTAGCAGGTTTGTTTGTATTTTTCACAATGTGTGTGTAAGATAGAAACTTATTTTTTACTATTACACATAAGTCTAATGCTCTCATTAAGCTGGTAAGAAAGCTCTTGATGGGCTTCACAAAGCAAATTGAGATTGTACTTGAGTAAATGCAATTTGAAATCTTTGATTAGCATTTAATATTGAATTAGCAATGCATGCATCTGAAAGTTAAGAATATTCTAGCCCTGCAGTAATACAGTAGGCCCTGTTTATTTAGAATTTACTCAGGGTTCCTTCCCTTGAAGATGTATCTTTTAAAGAATAGTTACGCAGAGGAAAACAGGCAATTGGCCCAGACCCTGGGGCGTTGATTTGAAAATAGAATACAATCTGAGCTAGTAATGGAGTTATCTGCTTAATGTAGGAGAGTTGTTGGCACCTATTGCAGCTGAAGCTATGGAAGAAAGCACCTTGGGCGAAGATACTGGAGCTTCAGCTGGGGATTCTGATGACTCTCTCCAGCAACCAACAGTTCAATTAGTGGAGACCATAGATGAGCCATTGACACATGACATCACAGGTAAACATTTTGATCTGTGGTGCATTTCAAATTTAAACTTGCAGTTTTGTCAGGACTCCAAAATAATGTTCATACTCTTAAATCATTTTCAGCCCTTTTTTAACGGTGTATGTGATGGAATAGGTTTTTATGTATAGACATGTGCACACTTACAAGGTGATTAAAAGTTTATAGCTTTTTAAGAGCTCCATTATCATATGCACATTATTCCATGTGTCTTGCATAGCCGGAGTCCAGAACTCCATATTTAAAAAAATCTTTTTTAGATGCGAAAATAAGTAATACAAACTGGTCAATTAGTAGTAATAATAATAATAATATTTCAGTCATCAGAATGACAAGTTTTTTTTCATTTGTTTTTAATCTAACATTCACCAAAATGGACTCAGCCCAGCTTGACAACAGCTTGTAGTTTTTTTTCGTTGAGTTTTCTCAATGAGCAAACATAAAATTTAGGTTTAGTTCTAACATGATAGTAGTTCAGGAACCAATATTATTACAGTAAGGAGTAACTTAACACATTTAGGGTAGTAATACTTGTAATAAACACAGTATTCAATAATCCTGACACCTGTACATGCAAGAAATGTTTGTTTTGAAAGATTGTTTCAATTTCATTTTAATAAAAGTTTTAATAAAAACTTACGCTAGTACTACTCATGCTTTACCAACTGAACACATGTTAAAAGTAGAACTGTATTTGGTTTTACTTTAGGTTAATTTGTTTCTGAAAACATGGACAAAATATGAGCAGTCTTTCAACCCACTTTACATGCTCTCATTAAAAATGGTATTTTTTCTGATTTAAAATATTTTTAAAACTTTTTTAGAAGTTTCAAGAATTCAAATTTAATAACATTCATGAACTTTTTCCAAAGAGCTGTAAATACTGAAAGAATTAAAATTACCAAATAAGTACATGATATTAACTCTGTTCTATAATTTATGCTTGACAGTATTAAAGCTGTTTTAATCATTCAAAGGTGCTCCACCTCTTTCATCTTTGGAAAAAGATAAAGACATTGACCTGGAATTACTGCAAGACCTCATGGAAGTTGATATTGATCCTTTGGATATTGATCTGGAAAAAGATCCCCTTGCAGCCAAAGTCTTCAAGGTAAAATGCACATAATTATTAAGGATAATCTTTACGTGTGAAACTTTCCTGTTTTCCCCTTTTAACTAGTGATACTTCATATTAACAGACCTGCTCCCAGTTTTGTGTAAAGGTTTTATGCACAAGGTCAGGAAAGAATATAAATATGAAATGTGTTCATGTCTCGGACGACGACAAAATATTTTGCTTTTACATGAAGATATCCATATTTTAATGGAAAGTTCCAAACTTACTCATATTTTAACACATGGTAAAATAACAGAACACAGAAGAAAGAGTATCCAGTCTTGTTTCTTCTCATTGCAAGTAGAGTGCCATTAGCTTCTGTGATTGATCTTAGAAATTAATACAGCTTGTTCTTCTACTTTTTGTTTGTTTTATGAAAAAGTCATTACCAGTATGTTACTGCTTAGACTAGCCTGACGCTGGGAATGGAAGCAGCTAAAAGTATTTCATCATGGGACAAGGAGAATTATTAAATGCCCTTTTTCATATTAAAAGGGAATCTAAACATATTTATATTAGAGTAAAATTGCAATTAGATAGCATCATAGTCAAGCTATATTAAAAATATAAAAATATGGTTATAAAGAACCACAGCTGCTTATATAAAATGTTGAGCCTCTTTGCTCTATCCATAATAATGGAATAAAGTCAGAGTTTATTCAGCGTTTTCCCACTCTTCTCCATAAGAAGTTAAGCCTTCAGCCTCATTTAGTTAATCTAAATTAACTTCCTTACTGCTTGCTCAGACAGTACTGCAGTCTTTTCCTTTTCTTATTCCCTTGTGTATTTCCACTAATTATCTATCATCTAAAGAATTCTTTATTTAAATCTAACTTAACCAAAGTATTCCACTGTTGCTTAATTTTTCTGGTGTCAGTGTCTCCTTCCTCCTCCAGATTTGCTCCTGTTGTGATATTTCTCTTGAATGATAATTGATACCATTATGGATCTTGCCATTAGATGTTAACTAGGAACACATAACTTGCTTCAATACAGTCTTATATTACTGTGTTCTCTCATTCTTGCAGTCCATGCACCTTCTTAGTGTGAAGCCTTGAGAGCCTTGAGCAGAAATTACTCAGCTCTTTCTTTTGCAGAGTCTAGTACATAAAATCCCTGAGCCTCGCTCAGGCCTCAAGGTATTTTATTAGTACAATTATATGAATAATGTAGTATTCTGTTTTCATGAGCAACTTCTCAAAATGTTTGTGTAATCCAAATTCATACTGTGGTACAAACGTATAAATAAAAACTGATAGTAACATTTTCTGTTTTCTCTGAGGCATCTAAGTAAGTTGCCGGATTTTGAAAATCACTAAACCATCAGTAGATTATACAGCAACAGAAATGGAAACAAAACTTTCTAAAGCTTTTGGATCCAGTCTTTTTGTGTTAATTTTCGTAGCTACCATGTGTTCTGTTAGTCAAATGATTTTCTTCTATTAGGCAGTCTGAAGAGTTGTTGAATGTTTTGTTATTGTTTATTTTTGTTTTTGTGTTTGTTTTTTAAGCCTATAAGCAGCACCTGGTATGATTACTGGGGTGCTGATTATGGTACCTACAATTACAATCCTTACATTGGAGGTGTTGGAATTCCTGTTGCAAAACCACCGGTAGCAACAGAGAAGAATGGATCGCAAACTGTGAGCGTATCTGTCTCCCAAGGTGAGCAGTGTGGTCAAGTTCTGTTTCAGGGTTTTCTTTTTTATGGTGCTGCAGTCCATGCGTCACTGTTATCAAATTAATGTTTACTAATGCTGTATGCATTAAATGGAAAGAATTACATTTTTACATATGCCACAATTCTTCTGTGATAAACAGGAAAATGTTACGTGAGGTTTATTTTTAAAACTGAGTCTAAGATAGCAGATTTTTTTTCCTTTTCTAATGTTTTTGAACAACCTCCTAGACACGCATTCAGTCAGCTTTAAATCATTCCTGTTTCACAGGTTATTACAAAGTTTGGAAGCCCTTACTGGCTGATGCTTTGCACAGTTAGTTCTATGCTAAGGTATTAAGCACTCTTTAAAGTTTGGAGAGTGTTGTTGAGTTGGGGAGACAGACCTTTTCCCACATTCTTTGGTGAGAAATAGCTTTTAGTCCTTGATTGAGAGTCGTTAGTTTTTGGGAGGGGGGAAAAAAAAAAAAAAAAGGCTTGAACATATGTACTTTAGATATGTAACATTTAAGTGACTAAAAAAAGTATCTGTAGGTGTGTTTCAGAAAAAAACAAAGATATTAGATTTAGTATTTTATTAATTATATATTTCAAGCCTACAAGAATTTTATGTTCAAAGTTTCTATATTTTGTTTCCGTCACACACAAGTGAATCTTCCTATCAGCTATACTGAGATTAGTGGGGGTTTTTTTGTTGTTTGTTTGTTTGTTTGTTTGTTTTTTAAGTGTAGTATGGACAGTATATCTATATTATTTGCTAAGAAGTTACAAGTAAATAAATGTGTATCTCTACTATCATTCAGTTTTATCCTGTTGGTTGCCTTGTATAGCTTTAGATGCACGTCTAGAAGTTGGACTTGAACAGCAAGCTGAGCTAATGCTGAAAATGATGTCCACCCTCGAGGCTGATTCCATCCTACAGGCATTAACAAACACATCTCCTACATGTAACTACCTGTTGTCAAATAATTTTCTTCACATAATTAGCTTGATACTTCAAAATTTGTACTAATTTTTTTTCAGTTGCCAATAACAGCTTACAAAAAACCTGTATTTCACTACAACTTGATTGTGAGACTAAGCTTCAGAAGTATTTCTGATGGATACTGGAGGGGTTAGTGATATCCGTAGACTTTATTCTCCAAAAGTTTATCATTGACTGTGCTAGTTTTATTTAAATGGTTAAAAAAGATTGTGCAACTGTAGTGCTCAAAAGACTAGACCAGAAAGATGTGTTCGTCAAGAACAGTCAAAATGTGTATCTGTGGGCTCACTTTCCAAACACTTGTGGAAAGTTGGAGATGTCTGACATTTAAGTATGCCTTTAAGAGTATAGTTAGCAGTAGTGCAGCAGAACTGAACACAAAATTGAAGATGTTTTCATAAATATAAATTTATTTTACCATAAGTATAAAATCTAAGTAAATAAATATGAATTTACTTTTATGAACTTCCACAAAATAATCCATACATGGGGGATTTTGTGTTTTGGTTTGTTATATTTTTTTCTAGTAACCCAGTCTCCCAGTGGAACAGATGATTCATTGCTGAGGGGGTTACATGCTGCGAACCAGAATGCACAATTGATGGTGCAGTTGTCATCTGTACCTATGCTGAGTGCCTGCTTCAACAAACTCTTTTCCATGCTCCAAGTTCATCATGTTCAGGTATAGACTTATGAACTTTCAAATGTTTGGATATTTTTACTCTCTAAAATCAGCTTCTGTGAATACGAGTAATGTTGGAAGACTGTTAGTCATTACTCAGCTGTGTTCCCTGAGACATTCCAAAAGCTCACATGCAATCACTTAAGTTAAACAGTAAGGTGGTGGTATAGCTCTTTCTGAGCAAATTGTCTTTTTTTAAACAGAAATTGGAAGAGGAAAAAAACTTTGTAAGAGAATTTGAACCAGCTGAAAAGAAATGCATTACTAGAACGCAGTAAAAGCATTTGCAAGTTATCCTGAGCTTGATGTAAATGTTTTGTTTATCAGAAACTTCATACCCTGTAGAGTGTGGGTTTGATTGCTGCGAATGGAAACAGCAACAGCTGAAAAAGTGGTTAAAACTTTTTAAAATGAAAACAGGCACTTTTTAGGTTCTCTCTCATTTTTAGGTTCTGGGAAAACACTTGCATTCGACCTAATATTCTCTCTCTCTCTCTCTTTTTTTTTTTTTTTTCCCCTCTTCTGTTTTTCAGCTTGAAAACCTTTTACAGTTATGGCTCACATTAAGCCTGAATTCCAGTTCCTCTGGTAGTAAAGATAATGGCGCTGATATTTTCCTGTATAATGCTAATCGAATACCTGTAATTTCTTTAAACCAAGGTAAATATATTAAATTAGGAAAACTAATTTGCAGGTGGCGCAAGATAAGATTTTGGAAAATTCTCAGTCCTCTTAAGGAGCTCTTGGAATTTTATTTTCTTAATATTGAAACTCTGGAGTTAACATGTAATTGAGGCAGTTCCTTGAATGTGTTTTTGTTACTTAGACTGTAAAATTGGTGGTTTGTAATTCATCATTCTTTACTTCCAAGAAAAGTTTTCTTAAATACGCTTCTTAGTCTCAGGCAGACTGGCATCTGGATGCCCTTCTCTAGTAAATTTATTCTCCCATAAACAGGCATCAGACTTATTATCAAAGGAGACTTATGATTGGGGAAGACTTTTAGGTTTTGGCTTCAGCCTGCTAATCTAGCACAAAGGTGTGTATAGAAGAGACTTTTCTCATACAACTCAAGAAATTTATTTGCATTATTTTTATCTGAGATATCAGAATTTGGACATGGAAGAAACTCTTCAGGTCATTTCCTCTGAGGTGTTGTTGAAAGTTTCTTTTCCTAATTTCCTGGGTCAATAGTTGTAAAAACAAAATAAATACAACACTCACACTAAACTTCTTATTTTGACTGTCATACTCTGAAGATTCATGCTTGGATAAAACATGTCTTTTCTCAACAGCTTCTGTGACTAGTTTTCTATCAGTTCTGGCATGGTATCCTAATACCTTACTCCGGACATGGTGCCTGGTGCTTCACAGCTTAACTCTTATGACAAATATGCAGCTTAATGGTAAGTTGTTGGGAATTTTTTTTTACATTGCCTGTTCTTGTGACACACAAATGAATGTTCATTCCCATCCCAAAGACTACCAGAAGTTTTTCATTCTTACGTAAGTACTTTGGCTCACCATAACTTCAGGCATTTTGGGAGTGAAATTCTCGAATTTCTCGTACCAAGGAAGCTGAAATCTTAGTGGTAGAAGAAAAAGTCCTTACAAGTATGTTAGCAATGACTCCTAAATAAAAGAATTGTAGAATGACATCGTTGGGCATTAGCTTTGTGTTTGGGGAGCAAGTAGCAGAGAGTGATGATTGAGGCTTTGAGAACAATTCATATTCTTCTGAGGCAGTAGGAATATTTCTGTACATATCCAGGCAGCAGTCACTGCTTATAAAAAGCTGTACAAAGACAAGTCCCTAAAAGTTGAGTCTTTTTAGAAAGAAATAAAGCCCTCTCACAGCATTGCTGTGCTCACTAAATTATCTTGCATGGTGCTTATGGGTCATTAACGTTGTGCAAACAATGTCCCCTTGTGAATAAGATTTTGGCATAAGTTGGGTAGAAGTTAAATGATGTGATTTCTAACTGACAGATTTTAGATTCTAAAACGTTTCCCATCATAGGGCAACATTTGTGAGGAATCCTTTTGTGACCATATTCCCAAGGCATTCTAAAGAAGATATCAATAATAAAGAGAAAATTGGAGACAAATCTTCTAAAACTTGCATATTTAGACCAAGTCAGAGCTCTTAAATACTGCTTCGCATGCAACTTCCACACCAATTTTGTTTTGAATCCAGTGTGCCTTATAGCTCTGTAATGCTTTAAACAACAAAATACAAATATTTACTTTATTGACAGGTAATGGTTAGGGTAGTCTCCTTTTAACTCACTGGGAGATTTGTTACAATTATTTGGGGTAAGTTGGGTTAGTCTTTACTAGCAGTGTGTGATGACAAATGAGGTGTGTTTTTTTGTTCGTTTGTTTTGGTTTTGTTTGTTTAGTTCTTTTGAACTATTTAGTTCTTTTGAACTAAACAAACTGATATAAAAACCACAAAATATAATTCTATTTAGATGACTGTAGATGTATTAAATCTGTTTGTGTGCAATCAGCTGACCACTTAGCTCTGTTTGTTCATTGGCATTTTATTTAAACCCCTCCAAAGTTATTGTTCTAGATCATCAATCAAATCCTTATTAGGGAACTTGGTTCTCTAATTTGGCCACATTGTTATGTAGTTGAAATTCATTCTTGTTTTTTGGCAGGTCAGGTTCACCTCCAGTCATTTTCTTTTCCTCACTCTTCCTTAGAAAGAGCCACTCTTCTGTCATTTAAGAACCAGAATCTTGCCTTATTTGCATTTTCAGAGCTGTTTCTGACTTAAGGTTTTTTTGTTGTTTTTCAAAAATCCCAGACTTCTCCAGTAGTAATCTGGATTTGCTTTTATGTCTTTTGTTTCTTTTATTTATTTATTTACCCTGGGCATAGGGCAGGTTTCTTACAGGCGTTGTCATTTCCTGGGAATTTGTGAGCAACAGCCCTCTAGGGCAGGCCATTTTGTGATCGAAAATCCTATCTGATTAAGCTAGTATGTGGCTGATGCACATCTTCAGAATATGAGAGCTCAGGCTTGGTAATTTTCGTGCTTCAGAATCACTTACCTGAGGCCTGCAAGATGCGTTGCAGGGATTAACCCAACTCCCTTTCCCAACACCACTCAAGAATAATGACTTTGGCTACACAATTAAGTGACAGATTTTGTAAGGATGTTTAAAATCAGTATTTGGTGACTGACAATCAGAATCATTTAATTCCATTTAAGGAAAGGTGTATGCAAGCAAATCAACAGTGATATCTGGCTAAGAAAAACTTTACAGCTACCATTGCTTTAAAGTAAAGACAGCTATGGTAGCTGTCATCTGTAGGATGTTTCTGATAATACATTTACTAGAGATCTCCTCCTGTAGCAAGAACTATTCAAGCTTTCCTCACATGCCCTTTTGCATTATCTGTTTCTACTTTGTCGGTTACCAGAAGCACGGGAAGAGCACTGTTTTTGAGTATATACTTACCTTGACAGAGCAGTTCACGTGGATTCTTCAGAAATCTGAGTTAGTGTCAAACAAAACATATCAGATGAATAACATGAAGAATTAAACTGAACTTTTGCACTGCAGTAATACTTCCAACTGGAGACAGAATGAGACTGTCAACTCCAGGGAAGTTTTGACGTAACATCTGCCTATATTAAGATGCAAAGTATTCACAAAAAATGTCCAATTTGGCTATTACAGTACATCCGTAGCAAGTAGTGTACGTAGCATGTAGTGGGAAAAAGCTGGGAGATTTTAAATAATGGTGTCTTCAAATAAAACAAATTAAAAGACTGAACTTATGAACATGTCTGTTAGTACAAATGCAAACACGGATCTTCTAAAAGCTGCAATATTAAAAAAAAAAAACTAATAAGTATTACTTATCATGCTGTTACAATGGTTGAAGGCTTCATAGAGAAGAAGACAGCATTTCCAATTAATGCCTGTAATTCAAGATTTCTGAAGAAAATGAAATACCTTCTGTCTTCATAGTTTTAAGAATGCAGGAAAGTATGACAGAAATCATTCTTTTTTTCAAATGACAAATCATTTTGAGAAATTTGCATACACAGTTGAGAATACATGAGATTTTCAGTATTTCAAACTCAAGTGTCATCTAAATGGAAACTAGATTCCTATTTAAAGTTTATTGAAGGATGCAGTTACACGAAGCAACAAAAAGTTGCAGAAGTTAGTCATGAAAATATAATAATTCAAATGAACTTTGAAGCCTGTAAAGGCTTCTCATTTTGATTAGTTATATCAGCAAGAGCTGAGCAGGATTTTAATTGTAGTTTGGCTTAAATTTCACGATAAACTGAGGGGGAGAAAAAAAAAAGGCCCTAATATATTAGATCTAACTAAGGACTTAGGAAATTAGCATCTTTACAGACCTTAGTATCACTTCCATTTCTAATTTGTATCATGGCATCAAAAAAAAAAAAAAGAAAAAAACACTACACTGAGGTTGGGAAGATATTTTTGCTTAACTAAATTTTTAGAAGTATAGATTCAGCAGAAAGTAAATTTGATCAGTTGGTCCAGATTGGTGTTTCCAAGGAACGGTTTGCAAGGGAAGACTTCTCTTGTTCTGAAAAGTTCAGTCTCTCTTTCACAGGGAATGGTGTGAGATGTTTTATTGCTTTTATTTAACTCCAGCTATTGCTGTTTCAACAGTCTTAACCCTACATAATTGTTTAACTACTGATAATGATATACCCATGAGAAATATATGTTCCTCATAGCTGTTAAAGAAATACTCTAGGCCTTTATTTTCTCTATTCACAAAAAACAAAGTCTGTTTGTAGTTTGGGAATGAGATGCCATTTGATAAGGAGAAATTTTCCTTCCATCTTTCCATAGAGATTTCTTCTCTTGGCAAGTCTCTTTCCAAATGATTTTGTTTTGGTGCTCAGACTGCTTTTCAGTTGAGATAAGCATTAAACCCTGATTACTTCTGTTTTCACTGATACTTTTCATTCCTGACTGGAATATTACTGCTTAGTTTAAGAAAATTAATGCAGAATGATGAAGACTCTGAAAAACAGAATGGCCACGAAGTAGTTGGGTTTTTTGTTCTTTTTCATCCTCCCTGATCCAGGTAGTTTATTGTGATCCAGTGGATGCCGGGTAAACTCTCCTGTCGCAAAGCAGTGCTTCCTCTTGATTTAATTTTTCAAGTGTGCGATAAAATTGAAAACAAATTACATCTTCAACATGTGATAATCTGAAGTTGTAATTAGATAGGTAAAACATGATAAGAATAAATATTTTTATTTAGTAGCTCTGCTTTTCTGAAATCATGATTTGAGTTGATTGTATATGCCACTATCAAATGACTAAGATTTCCCATTTCATCAAAACACATTTGTTTGATCATCGAAGGATGTACTTTAATTCTACTTCTAGTTCCCAAAGCCCCTACCTATCAAGCTCCCTGTGGTTTTAGTCAATTATAAGAGGTCTGACTGGGTCATGAACAAAAACATTTCAATTGTCTACGGGATAATAGAATGTATAATCCCTGTCAGTTGTACTTGAACCTTAATAAGTTTTTGGACTAATAGAAAAAATGTAAAAATGTCTGAATATATTACTTCTACAAAATGAAACTCTATTTTCAGGAATATTGTTTGAAATATTTCAGGTAGAATGTTTCAGAGGGAAAACAGAGGGAACAATTTGGGAGGGGGTCTATGCTTGTACCTAGTGGAAAAACACACACATATATTCCCACTTGTAGCCATGAGTTTGTAGCTCTTTCTGCCTTGAATATGTATGCTGGATGAGGTAAATATAATGGCTAAACAGTTTAAATATGTTTACATTTAACAATTTAAATTAGAAATTTTAACTTTCACATGTTTGTTTTTAAGCTGGTCCAAGCAGTGCCATCGGAGCTCAGGAAAGTACTGCCCAATTACAAAAAAAAAGAAAAAAACCCTACACTGAGGTTGGGAAGGTATTTTTGCTTAACTAAATTTTTAGAAGTATAGATTCAGCAGAAAGTAAATTTGATCAGTTGGTCCAGATTGGTGTTTCCAAGGAACGGTTTGCAAGGGAAGACTTCTTTTGTTCTGAAAAGTTCAGTCTCTCTTTCACAGGGAATGGTGTGAGATGTTTTATTGCTTTTATTTAACTCCAGCTATTGCTGTTTCAACAGTCTTAACCCTACATAATTGTTTTACTACTGATAATAATATACCCATGAGAAATATATGTTCCTCATAGCTGTTAAAGAAATACTCTAGGCCTTTATTTTCTCTATTCACAAAAAACAAAGTCTGTTTGTAGTTTGGGAATGAGATGCCATTTGATAAGGAGAAATTTTCCTTCCATCTTTCCATAGAGATTTCTTCTCTTGGCAAGTCTCTTTCCAAATGATTTTGTTTTGGTGCTCAGACTGCTTTTCAGTTGAGATAGAAGTAATCAGGGTTTAATGCTTGTTTTCACTGATACTTTTCATTCCTGACTGGAATATTACTGCTTAGTTTAAGAAAATTAATGCAGAATGATGAAGACTCTGAAAAACAGAATGGCCACAAAGTAGTTGGTTTTTTTGTTCTTTTTCATCCTCCCTGATTCAGGTAGTTTATTGTGATCCAGTGGATGCCGGGTGAACTCTCCTGTAGCAAAGCACTGCTTCCTCTTGATTTAATTTTTCAAGTGTGCGATAAAATTGAAAACAAATTACATCTTCAACATGTGATAATCTGAAGTTGTAATTAGATAGGTAAAACATGATAAGAATAAATATTTTTATTTAGTAGCTCTGCTTTTCTGAAATCATGATTTGAGTTGATTGTATATGCCACTATCAAATGACTAAGATTTCCCATTTCATCAAAACACATTTGTTTGATCATCGAAGGATGTACTTTAATTCTACTTCTAGTTCCCAAAGCCCCTACCTGTCAAGCTCCCTGTGGTTTTAGTCAATTATAAGAAGTCTGACTGGGTCATGGACAAAAACATTTCAATTCCCTGCGGGATAATAGAATGTATAATCCCTGTCAGTTGTACTTGAACCTTAATAAGTTTTTGGACTAATAGAAAAAATGTAAAAATGTCTGAATATATTACTTCTACAAAATGAAACTCTATTTTCAGGAATATTGTTTGAAATATTTCAGGTAGAATGTTTCAGAGGGAAAACAGAGGGAACAATTTGGGAGGGGGTCTATGCTTGTACCTAGTGGAAAAACACACACATATATTCCCACTTGTAGCCATGAGTTTGTAGCTCTTTCTGCCTTGAATATGTATGCTGGATGAGGTAAATATAATGGCTAAACAGTTTAAATATGTTTACATTTAACAATTTAAATTAGAAATTTTAACTTTCACATGTTTGTTTTTAAGCTGGTCCAAGCAGTGCCATCGGAGCTCAGGAAAGTACTGCCCAATTACTGGTGTCAGATCCCAACCTCATCCATGTCTTGGTGAAATTTCTTTCTGGCACCAATCCTCATGGAACAAATCAACACAGTCCACAGGTAACTAGCAATTAAAATTACAGAATAGGCCTTCATAATAGGGTTTCAGTACAAATGATGCAAATATGTGTTTTTCATGATGTGTTACAGCTGTGGCTTGTTATTCTTTTATTTTTAGTCTTAGGTGTTTCTGATAAGCCACCACAGGAACTATCATGTTGGTAATCTATTACGAGTATTATACCTCATAATTAATCTTTCCTTCCTTTTCCAACTATCTGGAGAATTTCTACAGTGATTGGATATTGTGATATGCCAGTGGCAGTGTTCCATGGTAGGGGGCTTTAGTGTAGTGTGCATGGGAAAACAACTTAAGAGTTCAGTTAGCTTTCTGAAATCAGACTGGGTTGGGAACTGCTGATGAACATTAAGTTTAAATACGTAACAAGTAACAAAAGAAAATGACTGCCAAAACACAAGTCTTATGGTTGTATTTTGTGCTTGGTTTGTGAATCAGCGTGTCTCCTAATTTCAACTAATGGTTTATTACTCTTTATAGTCTTTGGAATATCTGCGAATGGTGATTTAAAAAAAAAAAAAAAAAAGAGTTAACCCCTTTATATATAGCATTTGATAGGAGTCGCCTGGAAAATCTTTTTTTTTCCCCCAAACTTAAGCATTGTACAATCATAATTAGTCTAAAATACTTGCACATAGATGTCTAGTTTGTGAAAATTCATGTGGATTGGCACAGAATTATGTTCTGTATAGTGAGTGTAGTTTGTATTGCTGGAAGGATAAAATCCTGAGCTGCAAAATGATTTTAGAAAAAGGAATTATTTATTTGGGTTTTTTTTGCTTGTTTTCCTCATGGTTGGCAATAGAAAAACACATGAAATTGTTTCAATGCTTGTCCTGTGAAATCCCCCCCTGAAACTAGATTATTTTATTTTATTTATTTTTATTTTTTTTCTCCCTGTTAGATACAACTTAATATTCTTGAGGGCATTTTAGCTTATGTATAACTTTCCTTCCAGGTTGGGCCAACAGCTACACAAGCTATGCAAGAATTTCTTACTCGATTGCAAGTGCATCTTTCTTCAACATGTCCTCAGATGTTCAGTGAATTTTTATTGAAGTTAGTACATATACTTTCAACAGAAAGGTAAACTTCAAGGCTTTTTTCTTGTTTTTTTTGTTGTTGCCATTTGTTTGTTTTTTTATACCACCTTTTGTCTTTATGGTTTTTGTGGATCGTGAATCACAGCTGCAGCTTGTACCTCCTCACATGCCATGTTGACAAGTGCTTTATGGAAGGCGTTCCCTGCTGTAGCTGCAGGGCAGCCAGAGGGCTCGGGACTACTCCTGGTGCATGGAAACTCCATGCACGGCTGCCCGTGCTTGTGGGAATGAGGGAAGGAGCACCAAGAAGCTGGTCAGACGCTGGTCGTTTCTCCAGCAGAGCTGGCTCCTCCCTGCCTGCTCTGCTGCTTCGCGGCAAGATCGATGAGCACGAGGCTGTTGGGTACCCATAGTTGGGCAGCACTTCAGACCTGTGGCAATCCTGTGGCAACTGCTTGGTCTGAAATATGTTAGGAATTATCACTGCTTTCTGGGATTGATGTATTACACCTCCGCAGACAAAAGCTTCATATAGCTGGGTTTCCTTGGTTCCTTTCTTCCCTGCTTCCCAGCAGGTGGCACTTTGGTGTTGCCTGTCCTTTAATCGTACAGAAAACCGCTGCAGCCTCTGCTGAGCAGTTTTACGTGGTAACTTGAAGCAGTGGGTGGGCTGATCCAGCCTGCATTACTGAACAACTAATTATAGAATATGTATAATAATAGAAAAGTTAATTCATGATGAATCATACAGTGCCTGTCTGCATGCCACAATTTACTTGAAATAAGCTAAAAAGACCCTAAAAAGGGTGTTTTCTGAGGTTAAAAGTTACTGCGAGATTGCTCAGCATCAAAGATGGAGAGAAAATTTTCAAAAATTGAATCAGACTCCCCAGATTAGCACCGATTTTATTTTTAAATATACTAATTCAAAAGGCTCCTTCTGCAGTCCACGAGTGAACATATGAATCACTTCAGGTAAATAAATGTATCCCTAACAGTAGTCTTGCAAGTAATCAAACTTAAACCACTTATCTGATAGTTCTTATGAAAAGTTGCTATTCAGACTGACCACTCTCTTTCCTCCAGCCAGAAGGGGGAAAAAAATCATGTTTTAGAAGGCAAATAATCCTAGTGGTACTAAAGTACTAGGTGACTTCTATACATGAAATTTCCCTGTAAACATGTAAAATTTTCCAGACAATTACACAAGGCTGTGTTTCAGACCTGTGTATCTGCACATTAGAAATAATAGGTCCTAACCTTTGTCAAAGAAAAGCTTCAACCTTGGCAATTCTGGTAAAGTGATAGGATGGAGAGATTCTGTAGACTCTGTAATAAGCAGTATATTAAAAAGCTGTGAATGTCTGGCCCTTGTCAAAAGTCAGCATATGCTTCAGCATGCATTTCCAGTAATGTCTGGATTTGTATTTTTTTGAAAATCTGTACTCTTTTGAGAGTTATTCCTCAAAAACTCGTTTTTGAATGTTAGTCATGCAGATAAGTAGCATAACTTGTTAACGTTTAACAATGACTTTTTTATTCTTTCAGGGGTGCTTTCCAGACAGGCCAGGGACCCTTGGATGCACAAGTGAAACTCTTGGAGTTTACTTTGGAGCAGAACTTCGAAGTTGTGTCCGTTAGCACTATTTCTGCAGTAATCGAGTCTATAACCTTCCTCGTGCATCATTACATTACGTGTTCAGACAAAGTGATGTCTCGCAGCGGCTCAGACAGCTCCGTAGGGGCTCGAGCGTGTTTTGGAGGACTTTTTGCCAACATTATTCGTCCAGGCGATGCCAAAGCAGTTTGTGGAGAAATGACAAGGGATCAACTTATGTTTGATTTGTTAAAGCTGGTCAACATTTTAGTTCAGCTGCCACTTTCCAGTAACCGAGAATATAGTGCCCGTGTTCCAGTTGCAAGCAGTACTACAGACAGCGTGTCTGATGAAGAAAAGGTTTCAGGAGGCAAGGATGGCAATGGAAACAATTCCAGTACTCAAGGGTCGACCGCATATGTGGCAGACTTGGTCTTAGCCAACCAACAAATTATGAGCCAGATTTTGTCTGCCCTTGGCCAGTGCAACAGCAGCGCTATGGCAATGATTATTGGTAGGTATTTTGTAAATAAAAAAGAAGACTTCTTGGGGTGGGGGATGCTTAAAACTTCTACAAACAGAGAAGTTGGATGCAGACTTGAAAGACTTTGTCACAGAAATGACAGGAAGAAAAAGCCTGCTGATCCCCATAGCGCTTCTTACCAGAAGCCTCTTTAACAGTGTGTTCTGGGAGCTCCAGTCACACATGCGCGTGGGCGAGATCTTCCTGCAGCAGAGAAGTGAGGAAGGAGATGACACTTTGAACAGCAGAGTTGCTGCTATAGTTTAGCAGAATGGCTCGTGAGTGGCAACACTAGTCTATGACTTGTTTGCAGGCAGAAATGCCATGACTAGCCTGGCATGTGCAAAAGTACAAAAGCATTTTGCAGGACAATAGGCAGAGACTTTGTTCCATTTCTGAAATGAGCTGCCAAATTCTATGCTCTTAGTAGTGATTGTCCTTGCAGTCAAAATCTCTGGCCCTTTCTGTGCCAGTTTCCTTGAAGCAAAGGTGAAACTGTTAACTAGAACTCCTACTCAAAACCTGTATGCTTGTTGACTGGGGCTTGTTGAGTGAAGGTTAGGCCAGTGGTTCATTCTGGCATTGGAGCAACTGAGAAAGAAACTAGTGACCTCTGATAGTTGCACTGACAGAGCAGGCAGAATTGTACAGGGCTGGGATGTGCTGCCAGGACCTTCCAGAAGACTCTTCTCAACTTTATGTCCTTCTGAACAACCAGTTTCTGCCCAGGAGTTGTTTTGTGTTTTTAAAAACTCAATTTGGAAAGGTAGCTTTGTGTCAAAGCACTGTTCAGAGGATGCAAGTTGTTGGGCCAGCCGATCTCTTCAATGGGTTGTTTTTGCCGAGCCTTTTGATACAGGTTGTAATTTGTGTGTGTTTTAGAAAGGTATAACATGGCTACTTAAGGATTTCGTTCCTTCATGGAAAACAAAAAAAGGGGATTAAGCTCTTGTCAGGCAAATTCTGACCGAAACATTCCTCCAGTACTGCTGCCAAGATTGCAGACACTGTGTGTGTTTTGGATTAAATGCTATCAGCATGTTGTAGTAAAGATAACTAGTAAAAAGATGGTCTGGAAGACATCTGCAGGTGTCTGCTGATATGCAGCTGGGCTGCTGTCAGAGTTTAAGCCAATTGTGCTGAACTCCTGGCTCGGGTAAGCTCAGAAACCGAGATGAGTAATTTGCTTGTCCCATGAAGTTAAAACATCTGCTGCATTGCCGTTCATGGCAGTTCTGTCTTTTTATTTCATTAGTTCTTATTTTGTGGCGCTTTGTTTTTGACAGACTGTGAAAATCACACAAATAACAGTGTTGCTGTCCCACCTTTGCCTCGAAATCTTCCCAGCTAACCTGCCCTCGATGGCTTCAGCTGTATCCTCCATTTTATTTAGCTTTGCCAGACCCTGACAAGATTGAGCCTTTGGTTGACTCTTTTTTTCCCTTTTATTCTGTCTGTCTCCCACGGATCCAGTGCTTCTTAATTCTTTCTTGACAATTTTAGGGTGCTTAAGGTACTACAGCTGTCAATTCTGTGTTTCTCTAAATGTAAATATCACTTAAATACTTTATCTATATGTTTAGTATAACTTCAGTTCCCTAAATGGAAGGGGATTATTCCATTCCCCTCACCTCCTCGTCCTGCAATCTCAGACCATTTTTGAAAGCTCTTCCAGAATCATGTCATTTGCTTTATAAAAGAGTTATATCCTCAGGGAACCTTGCTTTCAGGAAGATGGCCCTCCTCTGCTGGGTGATGGAGGGAGGAAGGAGAAGTAGCAGCTTGACTCCTAACGCTGTAGCTGTACCTGGCATAGTAGAAGATGACTGAAATATCCAACACTTAGTCCTACAGTTTTTCATCTTCAGCAATAGGCAGTCAAACTTTAATGCGTATCATTTATGCATTAATTCCCCAAGTGCTGATGTCCTATCAATAAGATCTGGTTCTGAAACACTGAGAATGAAATGTTAAGGTGAGGTATTTTACATAGAAATGCATATATTAAATGGTTGGGGTTTCTTGGCTGCACAAAATGGCTGCTACCTTTGCTACCAAGTTACCTTTGGCTAGGATCGATTCCGATTATTTTAGCTCTTATTTGATTTCTTTGCTAATTACCCTCACTTGTAATGTCATATCTAAAATAGGATTTTAATTTTCTGATTTCCAGCGTCACACCTCCTATTTATACCGTAAGGAAGGTAACACATGCTAGGGGGTGTTAGTAGTAACTTATCTGATTGCACATTTGTAATGTGTAGAAACCTGTGTGAACATTTGACTGAAAAGAAGTTTATATAACTTTGTTCTCTTGATGCATTGTGTTTTAGGGGGTTTTGCTTGTTTTTCCTTTAATGTTCTGTTAGTCTTTAATTTCTGAAGCTTGAACTGTTTCTGTATTCACTAAGGTGCAAGTGGCTTACATCTAACTAAACACGAAAACTTTCATGGTGGATTAGATGCAATATCAGTTGGAGACGGGTTGTTCACTATCCTGACCACACTTAGTAAAAAAGCAACGACGGTGCAAGTGATGCTTCAGCCAATTCTTACCTACATGGCCTGTGGATACATGGGAAGACAGGTAAGGTTTCTTTAGGGCTTCAAGATAATTATAATTTAGTTACTTCACACTGTAAACCATAAGGAAAAAATGCTAATGGACTGGACTGATGACACGTACAAAGAAATGCTAATGTTTTTCCACCCTGAACTTACTTTGGTGCTGAAGTTAGACTAGTCTTTCTTCAGCTGCCTGTGGTGGAGGGGCGGAGAGTCTCCCCAAGGACATTCCGACATCCCATTGAGATTCTTGGTTTGAGGTGTAAAGATGTGTTGAAACTTTTTCCTGCACTGGATTGACTATGTTCAGCTGGAGAGCACATTTACTGTGTTCATATTAATGGGTATTTAAAATGCTCAATCTTTTTTTATTTCCTTTTGGCTTTTTATCCAGTAATTCCTTCCTTTTCCTTACCAAAAAGACTTCTCCTATGTAGGAGTGAAACTATGGAGCATGTTACTACTATTTTGTGGGAGAGAAATCAACTGTGGTGGGATGTCCTCTCTGGGATTTGGCCTACTAAAATGAAGACTAAGAGCAACTGTGCATATTTCTATCCTATTAATTCTGTATACAATTATGTATTTCTTTTTCTAGGGTTCTCTCGCCACTTGTCAGTTATCTGAGCCACTGCTCTGGTTCATTTTACGAGTGTTGGACACAAGTGAGGCACTGAAGGCTTTCCATGATATGGGTAAGTAGGTCTCTTCCTTATGTAGTGAAAAGATTATAGTGGGTTTTATGGTACTTAAAGATGGAATACAAATATGTCTCTGAGGGATCAAATTTAGCAAACATGACTTTGCTTGCTTACAATCTGTCATACACTTCTGACTTGTGGGGTTTGTTTCATTACACATAGGTGGTGTTCAGCTTATTTGTAACAACATGGTAACAAGCACAAGAGCTATTGTTAACACTGCAAGAAGTATGGTTTCAACTATTATGAAGTTCCTTGACTCTGGTCCCACCAAAGCAACAGACAGCAGTTTGAAGGCCAGAGTGCTAGCTTCTGAGCCTGATAATGCAGAAGGGATTCACAATTTTGCCCCTTTGGGTAAGTAACTCTAGTTTATCTTGTATTAATATTCCGTGGTCGTATGAATATTTACCATGTTCTTATACTGTTGTGATAAAGTATTACAACCACAAAAGTATCATAATACTTTTAAAGCTTCTGAACAGAGAGGGTACTGGTGAATTAGGGAGATGGCAGAGAAGGAAATATTGTTTAGTCAGACCCTTCTGCACAGTCTTATCAATATAAGGCCCCATTTGGAAGGGAGGAGAAGAAAAAGGAGTAATCTGCATCTGACATAGTCATTACATCAAGGGGAGTCTCTTCATCCTCTGTTGGGTTATGGGAAGCCTTGTTCCAGCTCACTGTCTGCCATAGCCATGCTAAGATTCACTGACTTCTCTTAAGATGCTCCTGATTTGACCCAGCTTCTTGCAGAAACATAGAAAAGTAGGATAACACAGAATGGGCCAGATCTAGGTCAAACAGCAGCAGAGATTGAAACTTACGCCTAAATATCACTGATGCTTTTTTAGACCTGTACCTCATAATTTGTGTGGTGTCTGCAGAATATTTGTTAGAATTGGTATGTTATGGTATGAATGGCTCTTTTTCATTACTAGTGTGTAAATGCTCAGTATTGCTGCCCCTAACCTGGCTCGTCCCATGAATGTTTTCTTTCAGTGTCTCATTGTCAGGAGAGCAGAAAGAGAGGATTGTGTTTATAAACATACAAATAAAAACAATTGCAAATAGTGTAGGGCAAAAGAGAGAGCTGTTCAGTCCTGTCATTAAAACTTAGATGGATTAAATAAAATGAAAAAAAAAATAAAAAGCAAGTTTATTTGAGAGACTATAAACCTTCTACAGTGTTGCTCACAAGTTGTTTAAAAGGTGAATTTGAGAATCTTGCAGATAGTTGTATTACTTTAAATAGTATTCTTAGTATTTAGAAATTAGGTGACTTATTGCATAATTTATTGCATTTACAATTTCAGTAGCAAATTTTCAAGCATGTAGATCCATAAATTGCAAATTTGAAGTGCAGTTTTGCGAATAGCAAAAGAAGAATATCTTCATAACTGTCAATATAACATATAGAATGTTATCAAAAACCAAATGAGATGGAAGGGGCTAAGGTATTTTCTACCTATGTGTTCTGAATTGGTCTGGTAGTAGTAAGTATTGATAATGCTGCTGTTTTGAAGGCTCCATCACTTCGAGCAGTCCCACTGCCCAGCCTGCTGAAGTGCTGTTACAGGCTACTCCTCCACACAGACGAGCCCGGTCTGCCGCGTGGTCCTACATCTTCCTGCCCGAGGAAGCTTGGTGCGACCTCACCATCCACCTTCCTGCAGCCGTGCTGCTCAAGGAGATCCACATCCAGCCTCATCTGGCCTCTCTTGCAAGTGAGTGTTTTGCTAACAGGGACTCTGGTTTGAAAGTTCAAAGACTAGGATTTAGAAATACTACAGAGAACATAAACTGAGGGTCTAGACCCGTTGTTTGAAGAAGGTGATTAAAATAAGTTGAAAAGTTTCTAGGTCTGCTTTTCTTGAGAATTGAAGGCTTTTGTTTTGCTTGACTTCTTGCAGCGTTTTGTGGCATTAACTTTAAAATTTGCAAAGAACCTCTCTAAATTCTAGTGTGGAGCGATATTGATTAGTAATCTTCTGACAAAACAGTTAGGTGGGGTGACTAGAATAAGACTTGAGAGAAACAAACCTGCTGCTGTCTTATTGTCACATCCCAACTTGGGAAAGATGTGACATTTACTCCAACAGAACTTTCCTTCGTTTGAAATAAACCCTGTAAACCACATATCAAAATGCATGTGCACGTTGTTATTGATAACACACTGATCAAGGACTCTAGCTGCAGTTCTCTAGTAGTTTTTAATCATGTTGTCCTGTATCTTCAACAGGAAAAAATGCTTAATGTTTAACATTCAAGCCATTTGAATTTTCTGAATTTTCTAAATAGCATTAAACCTTCTTTCTTACCTTACTCTGTAGCTTGCCCTTCATCAGTATCGGTGGAAATAAGTGCAGATGGTGTGAATATGTTACCTTTGTCAACTCCTGTTATCACAAGTGGTCTCACATACATAAAAATCCAGCTCGTGAAAGCTGAGGTGGCCTCGGCTGTCTGTCTCCGTCTCCATCGTCCCCGAGATGCTAGTACACTGGGCCTCTCTCAGATCAAACTGTTGGGCCTCACAGCCTTTGGAAACACCTCGTCTGCCACAGTCAATAATCCGTTCCTTCCTTCTGAGGATCAGGTCTCCAAAACAAGGTATGCTCATAATATCAGTTTCAACAGACTAACTGAACAGTTTGTGTTTTCATTCTTATTTCATGTGTTTTCTGCTCGGAATCAGCTCCTCCTGCTACTGACTTCAACATTTGCAGTTTCTATTTTAAATATGTTAAAGACGTACTTGTGTTTTTACAGGCTGTACCATACACGGTGCTTTTCTTGTAGCATGCTTAATCTGTATGGAAAAGAAGGTGTTGTCATCTGTATTACAAAGAACAGAAAAACATTCAGAGTTGCAAGCTGTGTTCTTAATGTGTAGACAGTTGTCAAAGAAAATAATCAGCAGTGTATTTCTTATATAATTCTGACTTCAGCGGAGATAGAAATAGGACAATACAAAGTGTTGTGGAAGTCATACCTAATATTTCAATTTGCAAATACTTGAGAAATATGAACTGAATGTTGTGATCCTGGTATATCAGCAAGATTTCTTCAAATGCTTTTGTGGGGCTAGATAGCACCTTGAATAAAAGGAAATAAGCCCTTAAGGATTGCTCTGAAATAGGTATTTAAGTTTTTCTGACTTTGGATTTAGTGATTTATTGGTAGAGGAGATTTTTTGAGTTTCTTGGTTCCATTGAAATTTAAGTTAATAGATTGTAAAAATTCTTGACTTGAATATTCTTCCTTTGAACCTTAAAGTTTGTAAACTTGAAAGGAGAGTATGGGAAATTTTTAATTATTCTTTTTCCTTAGGGGAAAAGAAATTGAGAGACAGAGGGAAGAAATTTAGAGTCCATGAATACTGGCTGGTGTGTATTTAATAACAGCTGTAGAGCTGAAATTGGCCATTGAATAACAGTGGGGCCAATTTTTTTTTTAGCCAAATTATACTATGGCTATTTTTTTACTTCAAAAAAAAAGTTAAATCACAGTCTCACAAAAATCACAAATCACTTTCTAAAAGAAAGATGAGTTTAAATTCTTCCCATGTCTAGAAATTTTCTCTCAGTATATGCAACTCAATAGACTAATGGTAATAATATGGTGTATATATATTAAATGAACTTGGATATAATTTCATAACCATTGCAGAACTTTTTTCTCTTTTCTTAAATGATAAATTTAGAATAAATTCTTACTGAAATAAAAATGTAAACTTAAGATACGATGGATATAAAGGCTTCCCACAGTTTGTTTTTTCCAAAGTATTTCTTGGCACTTCTTGTTCTCAACAACAAACCTTGAAGAATACTAATAATATTGTTAAAGGAGTAAGAAAGACATGGGAGAAAAACGGCAGTTAATACTTAATTTTTGCACTTTTTATTTGCTTGGGTTTTTTTTTTTCTTCTTCTTTTTTCCTGTAATCAAGTAGGACACGCATGCTCACTAAGATTCACAGTAGTTTATTCTAGTTGTATAAAATCCTGAATGTATGCATCTGACCTTGATATTGCAAATACCGTATAATTGTTAATAAATTGTATAATTTTAATGTCGACACATACTGCAGGATTCTCAACCTTCAATAAAGATAACCTTCTGCTTGGGCCCTGCTGTGCCCAAGTGAAGCAGTGTGCTGTTTCCCATGTACTATTTGGCCAGTTCCTTTTAATGTCTGAATGCACACTCATTGACACGTGAATTTTGGCACATACGAGAACTTCTGTGTGTACATAAATACCCCAAACCAAAAAAAAAAAAAACGCACACAAATAAAAACAAACAAAAAACTCACACACTAAAGAAAAATAAAAACAAAATGACTGCCAGAGCATTTGGGATGCATGTAGGTTGGATCTGTTGAGAGAAACATGTATCAAGAAACCTGATGTTGTGAGACGCATATCTTTGCATTCACAATTCCTCTACCTACTTGAGAAACGTTACACTCCGTAACAACATGTGCAGGCTCTTGCCCTTTTCCCGTTGTGTGTCCGTGGAAAGTGTGCCTCAGAACTAGAGGAGAGGTTGTGGAGGCAGGACTTTTTTGGACTCTACACCATTCCAAAGGGTAAATTTAACAAATAAATAATATAAAAATAAACCTCTCTGTCCACAAACTCTGCCTTTCTTACAACTTTACATCTGTAGTTCCAGCAGCGTTGCTACCATATGTTATGCTGAAGTGTTGAGTTTAGTTATTTTAATTTTCTCACATGACATCCAATCATGTCACAGCCATTTTTGTCGCACTTGTTATAGTACCTAATGCAAGTAGTTACGTTCTAGAGGCAAATAAAATATTAAAATGATGCCCTCCTCATTTTCCTGTTTTCCTTTTCAGTATTGGATGGCTCAGATTGTTACACCACTGCCTCACGCACATAACTGATTTGGAAGGGATGATGGCTAGTGCTGCAGCACCCACTGCTAATCTGTTGCAGACGTGTGCTGCTCTGCTCATGTCCCCTTACTGCGGGATGCATTCACCAAACATCGAGGCTGTGCTTGTAAAAATTGGCCTTCAGTCCACCAGAATAGGCCTCAAATTGATTGACATTCTTCTAAGAAACTGCTCAGCGTCGGGGAGCGACCCTGCAGGTGAGTGCGGCGATTTTGCTTTGCAGTTGTTGCTTAATATCATTGTGTGTGTAAAAGTACAAATATAAAAATGCTTACGTGTTGCTCTTTTATTCTGAATTTGGGTTGCCAGAACATGTTGTGTTGGGTTACACTGTGCTTTGATCACTGCAGAACTTTATAAATAATTCTACACTAGTAAAGCAGTGCAACCAATATCATTATTTATAGTTTTGATTTACTTGTGTAAATTTAATCATTATTTATAGTTTCAATTTACTTAGGTGAATGTTTTGAGGTCATGAGGGTGGGACGTGCAAAATATCTTAAGTGCATCTGTGTATGAATGGGCAAATAAAATTGTTTGACATTTCAGTGTAAAGAGTTCATACAAACAATTTTTAGGAATATAGAGGCAGAAATCTTTGGGCTGTAATGGTCCTTCACATAAATTGTGAATAATCGTATGTCTTGAAAATATTTAATTATGAAGGTACACTATCAGGGCACTTGGACAACTTCGACTATGACCTGTAGTAAGATTTTGCAGTAACTGGATAATTAATGATATATTGTTAGTATTTATGATTTCATATTACTTTGCTGTTTCTGTTCCTGAGTGTACATTGTGTGACGTATGTTTTTTAAAAGAAACAGGTCTGAATACTTATTTTTCCTATTCTGAAATTGGTGACACTAGCAGAAAAAGACTTCTTAACGAGTTTTGTGACTGACTTTGCCATGAGTTAAAGTTTCAGTATAGCCTATTGCCTTTTGATGAAATGCCGTTAGGTAAAAGAGTATTTTTCCACAGGACAGGAGATGAAGAAACAAGTGAGGAGGAAGTGAATGGAAAATTATCTGAGGAAATCCTGGGCATCAGTCCCACTGATAGAAATAGGAGGAATATAGAAGTAGGAAACTTAAATGAGTTTCCAGTTTGAAAAAAATACTTGTTTCTGTGAACCATGAGATTTGACCACTCTATAGGAGCGAGTCATGTGTGTCTCAAATTTGTTCAAGAAAATCTTGCTAATCAGATCTTTAAGTCCTGTGTCTGGTGAATGTTGCAATGACTTTTTTGTCTGTAGTAAGGCCGAACATTACGCTGCATGTACAAAATGGGCAGTTTCAAAGTTTTGGTGGTGTTTGTAAGAATTACATCCCTTTGCTAATAGCAAAACTCAACTCACTGCTAACATTACAATTCCATAATTATATTCCATGAGTACTTTTAAAACTTACATGTGTAAGTACTTCTATTATTTTTCCCCTTCCTTTCTTTTAAATGCGGCAAGATCTGAATAGCCCTTTACTGTTTGGAAGATTAAATGGTCTCTCTTCTGACTCCACAATAGACATTCTTTATCAGCTTGGAACAACTCAGGATCCTGGAACAAAAGATAGGTAATGCTATTTGAACTATTATGTGGAAGTGCGTGTAAAAATGATAATAATAGTTTGATCTTAACTACATAAAATCAGACTTTCTAAAATCTACTTGATAAGAAATATCCTATAAGTGCATAAATCAAAAGAAGCTTTACACCTTTTCCTCCTAGCTCTTTGTATTCTTTGCAGAAAGAATAGAAAAGAATTTTTTTTTTACTTTGTAAGTAATATTATATCTTTAAAACATTTATTAAAACATTTCTCTTAACTACTCAGATCACCTCTCATTCCCTTTCTCTAGAAGACAGCTTAGATTTGACTGTTTAAGATGATACATGTTTTTAATTTTTATTCTACTGGTGATGTAAACTAGTTATTCAGTCAACTTTGCTTCAAAAGAGGAGATAAATGTGTAAATCAGATTATACAGAGACAGCAAGCTAATTTGTTATTTAGTGTTTCTAGATCTGTTTTACCCTTTGTAATATACATCATTTTGCCTTCCAGAATTCAAGCACTGCTAAAATGGGTCAGTGATTCCGCCAGAGTTGCAGCTATGAAAAAAAGTGGCCGGGTCAGCTATATTTGTCCAAACAGCTCAACAAGAGAGTATGGTCTTTTGATGCCATCTCCTTCCCATTTGCACTGTGTAGCAGCAATTTTGTGGCATAGTTATGAACTGCTTGTTGAATACGATTTACCAGCTTTGCTGGACAGAGAGCTCTTTGAGTAAGTAGAGCAAATAAAATATTTTGTAATATACTCTTTATAACTAAAGAGTTTTGTCCCCTAAAGTGATATGCTTTGCCTCGCACTCCGTGTGAAATAGTAGTGGAAGTTATCTTCCCTGGTGCCAATTTATTGAGTGAATACTTAAAAGTGTCTAAATAGCTAAACCCGAATATATTGGTGTTTTATTTCTAATCACAGAACTGCAGTTGAGGTATTTCAGACACAGTATCATTTAAAACAAGACAAAAATGCAACAAAAGAAAAATAATTCTGTGCATATGATTGCACATATGTGAAAGGCACACTATTGCATGGATTTGTTTGCTTTTTTATTCTTTAACAGCTAACTCTGGACTGTTCTTGCCAAAATCGAGTAATTGTTGTGATTTTCTGAGCAGCTGCAAATCATGATCTTCATTAGAATCCTATTCTGTAAATATTATTCCTCCTAATATACAGTATCCATAAAATTAATAACTAAATGTTTTTCTTTGGGAGGTGTTTTTTTGCAGGGATGGGTGGGGAGGGGGTATTTGGTTTTTGTTCTTTTTGGAGTCAAAGATTTTGCTCAGGCCAGATAATACAAAGTAGAAAATATTGAGTTGAACTTTTAATTTGTTGGGCTTGTCTTTTCCAATTAAAAAAAAACTCTAAAAATCTGCATTTGCTTTTAGCAGTGATTCCAAACTGAAAATATGTGAGATAAGAGTAATCCCTGATTTATGCAGCTTAACCATATACTCTTGTTTTTTTGTTTGTTTTTTTTTGTTTTGTTTTAAAAAGTCCTTGGTATTACAGAAATGTAGCCTATAGAAAGTCCTGTGTCTAGCAAATAAATAAATAAATAATTCTTTCATAAATGCATTTCCAGTTAATAAAAGGAACCTGGATTGCTAGCATATATATTTTTTTGTTGTCGTTAGGAAACTTTCATATGCTTTTATTACCTTTCTCATTTAGTCACAAAATCAAACATGTAAATGCTGGCAGATGTCCAAGTTCTGGTCATTGGTACAAGTGTGTGGAGCTTTTGTGCATGTGCAGCACTGTCGTCTGGAGCTGTAAGATGAGAAAATGGATAGCAAAATGTTTCACAATCCCCGTCTCTTGCAGAGTCCAGTATCTTTATCCTAGGTTGGAATTAAGAAATAGTAGTAAAACTATCGTACCTTGTTTCAAGGTGCGAGTTGCAATGTAGCCCTGGCCCTCTACCTCCTGCCGAAGCGGGCTGTATCAGCCAGCACCTGGAGCAAATTATAAAATACATTTTTAAAAAATATGGAAGGATTGTTGTCAGATATATATAGTTAAATGTTTCTTCTAATAACAGGAAAGTTCTCATATATTCGTCAACCACTTAGAAATATTTTAAAAGTTAAAATATCAACTGATTCTAGCTAAGACACTTAATCTCTCCTTCATGTGGTATTTCACTTTTCTCTTGGCTATGTCTTCTTATCATCCCTGTTTTCTATTTCAGTACTCTATTTCAGGATGCTGAAATAGTCAGCATAGTCCATAGTCTAGGTGGAAAATTATCTTATTTTTCCTGGTGCATGAATTTAGCCAGAGTTCTAGCAGAAGGTTTATGTGTACGTGCAAGTGGAGAAGTGTTTAAGTGTGTCTTCATTATATGTAGATTAAAAAAAAATTACCTATAACTGAAAAATTGTGAATTGTGACTCGCTTTCCAAAGTTGCAGATTATTCGGTCGCTGAGATGACTTGTACAAGTTTTGTATAGGAGTCTTTTTTTTTTTTTTTTTAATCATTAGACCAGCAACAATAAAGTTCATTTTTTGGTAGACTCATGGTCGTTCTTAGACAGTTATTTAGTCTCTAAATCCCTTAGACTACACATAGTATAATTCTTCTATTCAGGACAGGCAAAAGTTATTTTGGTCTTCAGATGCAATGTGTGCTCTATGATGATACATCCAAACTTACCTAAAAATATAACACTGAAATGGCACCAACTGTGCATTCAGCTGTGTAAGTAAATGTTAAAATTTTGTAACTGATTATACCTGTGTGATGATTTTACTCATCTACAAATAATGCTTCTCAAGTCTGAGCTAAATAATAGGAGCAAAATCAGGTTTTGCATCTCTGTGCTTTCAGTTAGTGCTGAAACAGATAGTATTTCAAAGGGTATAGGATGGAAGTGGGTTTTTAGTATCTACGAGGAATAATTCTGTTGTTAACTGGTATCCTAAGCTCCAGTGAGAAACTGAGTAGGGTAAACCAGAGTGACATCATTTGTCCAAGATTCATGGTATTTTTGTCTTCTATCACAAGATCTTTAGATCTCGATCTTTAGATCTTTAGAACTCAAAGCAAGTTTTAAAATGCTTTGGGAACATGTTAAAGTACCTCCAGATCTTGCAAAGGGTTAATAAAGAGAGCTTTGTGGAGGTGTGTGCTCATTACCCTCGTCACTACAGTTTGGAGAGTTGAAAACATGAAGAGGCTGCAGTTGGTTCAAAGATGCATAAATTTTGTGACAGCTGTCCAAACACTAGACTCCTCTCTTGCACATGCAACATGCCAGAAAAGCTAGAACATATCTGTTTTAAATACAATATGGAGAAACAATTCAAACATAGGAATGAGGAATAATGGCCTGCTTAAAGTGTGCTATGGCTGTCCAGCTTGGCTGAGAGTATTTTACTACAGCCTCTGTGACAGTTAATCTTAAGTCTGGAAATGAAGGATCGTTTTATGAACTAAGAGAAGGAAAAGGAAAAATGACTGGAAAATTTATGTCTTAACACAGTTTTCTGTCTTTTGCAGATCCCTGTTTAACTGGTCAATGTCTCTTCCTTGCAACATGGTTCTGAAGAAAGCTGTTGACAGTTTACTTTGCTCAATGTGCCACATCCATCCAAATTACTTTTCCCTACTCATGGGATGGATGGGTATCACTCCTCCTCCAATGCAGTGTCAACACAGACTGTCCATGACTGATGACAGCAAAAAGCAGGACCTTAGCTCATCTTTAACAGATGACTCTAAAAACGCACAAGCGCCTCTTGCACTAACGGAGTCTCACCTGGCTACTCTCGCTGCCTCATCTCAGTCTCCTGAAGCTATCAAACAGTTGTTGGACTCAGGTTTGCCCTCTCTGCTTGTAAGAAGTCTTGCTAGTTTTTGCTTTAACCATACTGCTAGCTCGGACTGCTCTCCGCAACCAGCGGATCCCACCCAGGAGAGGCTCAGGAGGCATCATGTTCCACAGCACTTTAATAAAATGCCCATCACGGCAGACCTGGTTGCTCCTGTTCTCAGGTTTTTGACAGAAGTTGGCAATAGCCACATCATGAAGGACTGGTTGGGTGGTTCTGAAGTCAATCCATTGTGGACAGCACTTTTATTTCTGTTGTGCCATTCTGGTGCTACTTCTGGAGGACACAACGTCCCACCACAACAGACCAGTACAAGATCTAGCTTGCTTTCTTCAACTGTAACAGCAGGGTTGACCACTCAGCAGCGAACAGCAATTGAAAATGCAACAGTTGCTTTCTTCTTACAATGCATTTCTTGTCATCCTAATAACCAGAGACTTATGGCACAGGTAAGAAAAAATCTAAAGGTTTACTTTCTTTCTAATAACTGTCAAAATGTGTTCAGTTCAAATTTGAGAGCTTTTTACTTCTCTTTGTTTAAAATTGGTTCTCTCTCTCAAGCTATGATTGACTGGAAAAGTTTGGAATTAAAAATCTTGGTCTGTCTTTCAAAAGTGCAGAAATGTTTTGGCTTGGTTTGTCTCTCCCAGTGGTATAAAGTTTACTGCCTATCTTAACAAGACATACATAGTATTTTGGATTTTGCACTAATTGCATAGGTTTAGACTGTTCTGAAATGAGATTTGAAAATCAAGCTGCATAGGCATCTTTTATGTTAGTAACTAAAACAAAATTTCCATGAGATTTGCTTGCACAACCCTACCCAGCACGATCCGTGACCAGGAAAATAATCGGCTATTGCAGAATGTGCCTTTGCACTTAGCATTCTGGTGCAAATTCAAGCAATTTCCTCGCAATGATTAGCCTTGCAGACTTAGTTGGAAAAGAATATAATTTTATAAGATTTCTCTTTTGAGATTAAGAATTGCAAGAGAACAGATAAAATTGGTTTGAAAAAAAAATAGTACAATTCTGTTAGTGGCCTGTATAAATACACCCTTGCAAAGAAGCATTTTTTTGTTTTAGGAATTTAGAAGCTATTTTCTCTATTTTTTTTTCTGTTGTTTGTTTATCTTCTTGATAGTCTACATGCTTACTGTTATCTTGATGCAGTAGGCATTTGGGGTTTTTTTTTCAAAACTTTTTGTTGATGTTTTCCTCAGTGTGTTCATTTCTGATTGTTACAATTAATGTATGCTATTTTAACTCTTGACTGATAACCGGAAGGTAGATCTTAGGCACTGCCTATTATGGCTGTGCAGAGATATTGTGGAGACCCGAGTATAGAAATGTTTTAAATATGATGTCATTTTGCATTCCAGGTTCTCTGTGAATTGTTCCAGTCCTCTCCTCAGCGTGGGAATCTCCCAACCTCTGGAAATATTTCAGGATTTATTAGGAGGCTTTTTTTGCAGCTGATGCTGGAGGATGAGAAAGTGACATTGTTTCTTCAGTCTCCTTGTCCCGTAAGGGTTTTTGGTATCTATATGGTGAATATAGATTAGATTTGTTCTTAAAGAAATTCGGGGTATAGTCAACTTTGGGGAGTTATGCAGCAACTTTTCCTACTGTTCACCTGGCAGGATTTTGGAATGGAGTGCTTTGTTGAGGTTCAATTGTACCCCACCGTTTTAGAGGAAAATTTAGGAACCAACAATATTGTTAGACAAAGCAGTCTTATTGAAAGCATACTGTGTTTCTGAAAGCATAGATGACTGAGATTTATCTTCTGAGGAAGGCTTTTTGATAGTATCCTTAAGGATTAGCAACAGATTGGAATACAAGTTTCAGTTTTTCCATTTCCTTCATTTAAGGACCCTTAGTTTTGATGCTTCAAAACTGACTGAGATTCCTCAAAGTTACCCAGAAGAATTCAAATAGAATCCTGCATGACCAAGGCTCATACTGCTTTGTAAAGCACTTTTGTGCTTTAGGACTTCCATGCGCTTCGCTGGAGCACAGAACTAAAGGCAGTGATTGATGTGCTGTGTGCTCAGCTGAAGTTTGCAAATCCAGAAATACAGGAAGACACAAGCTCTAAAGCACCTGATATTACCATACAGAGAAAAAATGTCTTCTACTTTGTTTTTTGCTGTTTCTACCTATCAGAAGTAAAATACATCATGAGATATATGACAGAGAAACTGAATCAGATGGTGTGAGATGTAAAAGGAGAAGTAAATGCAGTTTTATTGCAAACACATTTGAATGTTTTCCTTTAACCTGGTTAAGGTGAGATGATAACCTGGCCTTTGGTCACCTATTCATAACTTCCTACCCAGGCACCAAAAAGAAAACTCTTGTTTCATATAGAAGTTTGGTATCAATTTTCCAATCATTAGTTTCACACAGAACAGTCTTCTGCAGAGAGTAAATGTGCAAAAGCAGAAGAAATAACTTCAAAGGAACTTGTAATTCAATCTAGCTACTGAGTAAAAAACGATTCCGTATTTAATATCCAAAAAGAAAACCTTAAAATTAATCTGGATGTACACTGTTTTTCTGTTATATGCAAAAACAATCATAACTTTTCAAAGACTGGATCCCACTTTTTATCTCTAACAGCTTTTATCAAAAATATATTTTATAAGCCAATCGCCAATTACATATGTTTGCTTTTCTGATTGTGTTGCACAGCGGTAAATTGATTTTGTACCTGAATATTAGAAAGCATTAGCATTAGTCCTGATAGTGATAGGAGAGGTGGAGCCAATACCTGTCTTATTGCAGAGAAACCTATAAAAAGTCACTGTAAGCAAAGAACAGTTAAGAATTTCAAACAGAGCTAATGCTTTAGAAGTAAATCTTTAAGTTTTTTTAAATTTAACTTATTTCAGGTTATTAAAATTCTTTTTCTGCTTTCAGCTCTACAAAGGTAGAATTAATGCTACCAGTCATGTGATTCAACATCCAATGTATGGAGCAGGACACAAATTCCGCACTCTTCATTTGCCAGTTTCAACAACTCTAGCAGAGGTTCTTGATCGCGTGTCAGGCAAGTCTGTAGTAGTTTGTGTTTTATTTTTAAAGGTATAGTTACAATTTAAAAAGTCATGTATGCCTTACCTGTACATGTCTTTGGAATGTTCATAGTTGCCAAATACAAAACAGAGGTTTAGATTTTAAGCCTCTGCATCTCTCTTATATGTCCCATTGAAAATGTTCTTTTATCCGTCAGATCTTTTGTGCTTTCTGTATATTTCACGTAAAGCTCAAATTCAGGTAACTCGGGTACAATGCCAGTGGGAAGGCATTGTTGTCATTGTTTGTTTCTTTGTTTTCAAGTTATTTAGTGTGTTTTAAAATATTGAACATGTTTTGAAATCTGTCATGGGATATTTGCAAGACTGTGTGAAGGATATTGCAAGTGTCAGTCTTTAAAATGCCCTATCCTTTCACCTTGTCAGTTAAATATTCCAAAATAAATAATGTCATTTAAATAATCTGGGAATTAAAAGTTTATCCCAAGATTAAGATCACAGCAGTGGTATTACTATGAAAAGAACATAAATAAAGTACGAGTATGCATTTGGCTGTTATTTCAATATTTGGGGTTACTAAGTGGAGATTGAGAACCTTAATTTAATGTTGAAGTTTAAAATTAGAAACAATAAGCATGAATGTCAGCATGATTTTAATTTTTTTATGAATTCAGTATTTTTAGTTTTACTGAGTGTTTGTATACAGAGAAAGATGAAGCCTTCTAGGGTGCTACATTGACCAGGCCACCACCGATTATGATAGGAATTTTGAGTGGTAGATGCTTACACTGAGTTCAGTAGTTTAACACTTCAGCAAATAGAGCTGTGTGTTAAAGATTAAGGTTAGTGATTTTTTTTGACATGTAATTAAGAGTAGAACTCATATTAAATGTGGTGTGTTTGTGCCAGAGGTAAAATCAGACAAGATGCAAGTTGATTCTCCTCAAGTAAAGAATGGAGAGTAAAACCTGCTGGATAACATTCCACTAAAATAAATTTTAAGTGTGCCTAATTAGGCAATAACAATTCCTCTTTACTATTAAAGTGGTGTTTTCATTTTAGTAAAATCAAAAGATAACAGAATTCTTCACAGCAATTATAATCTTGGCATGTTGCAGATGTGCACTGAACCACAGCTGGCCATGCTTTTGTCTAGGTTTTGTATGTTCTGAGGCAGATGTATTTGTATGTGCATTTTTTTCAGAACATTTCCGAAGTTAAACACTGTTTGGCATTTCCAACCCTGGACAGAACAAAATGTGCTTTGGGACTTTGACTAAAATATGGTGAAGCCTAAAAAAATGCATAGAACTTATTTATCTGTGATCAATAATTTACAATTTTTGACAGAATTGTGTATGTATGCAGTGTGACCAAGGTCTTCAGACCCTTTATGTATTTATGGTCAGAGTTACTGTAGTGGCTGCAGTAGGTTACTGTGTATGGGGTAGGTATCAAACCGTGACAGAAGCTACAGGGGTAACTGCCTCATTGCATGGTGGTCGATAGCTCATGAAAGCTCATAGGGCCTCTGGGAGGAGGATGTGCTTGTCTAATGTCTTGTAAAGCATATAGTTCAAAGTGATCAAATGCTGACTTTGTAAAGCATCCCAACATCGGATCTTGCTACAGAGTTTTGCTTAAATTTAATTTTAAAATGGAAGAATCAATCTGATTAGATTCCCTGCTTGAGCAGGGGTTGGACTAGATAATCTCTAGAGGTCCCATCCAACCTCAACCATTCTGTGATTCTGTGATTATTTTCTCTAGAATGATTTTTTTTTGGTTGTATTAAAAGCTTTGATTCTTATAAATCGTTCCATGATGTCCATGCTTAGGAGAGCAGACAAGCCATGAATATATGAGGAGGAAAGTGCATTCTGGGGGTGGTGGAGGTGGAAGAGGAAGGGGAAAGGGGCCTGCGCAAGGCAAGAAAGGCCTCTAAACTTTTGCTTGCCCTCCCTCATGGATCATACAAGTTAATAATGCAGAGTGCCATAACTGTTTTCTTTTAAACTAAATAGGACAAAAAGAATGTAAGTTAGCACTTGGCTTCTCAGCTTTAAGCCGTTCTTTCTGTAAAACTATAGCACTTAAGTCACCTAAGCAAACATTTCTCTCTCTAATCCATCCTGTCACATGTACAACTGATCTGCTTGGCACAAAATGTTGCTCTGCAGACATATGGAGCAGAGACTTGCTGTTTACTTCTGAAAAAATTGCCAATTACCCAAAAAAGCTTCTAAACAAGTAATCTGTTATATAATTTTTCTCTTGTGTTTTATTTTGCTTACATCTATTGAAATTGATGAGTCTTCGTTAGGGTCATTTTTTGTATTTATTGGTTATTTTATCAAGGATTAGACTATAGGTCATTATGGTTTTAAGCAAAATCAAATTGAGAAAAGTCTTGGTTTGCTAGAAATACACCAAATCCTGTCAACTCCAGATGGGATTTACCCAATTCACAGCCCTTAAGGCCTGCATTTCTCTTCCTGACAAATTTCTAGTATAAACACAATAAACTTATTTTCTACATTGGGTTAACTTGTTCCAGGTTCAAGTAAAGAAAAAATACAGCTATGAGGAGCTTCTTGCCTAGCTGTCCTGCCCTTCTGCATGCTGACTGCAAATGGTTGTGGCTAGGAGAATTTCCAGTGTGCAATATGCTCTTTTGAAGCCTGTTTTTCCCTTTGCCGAGTTTGTGAATAAACCTTCTCTCCAAGGCTGGGGAAGGATCATGGCTTGGACTGGAGCTGTAATTATACAGAAGTAGGAACCTCAGGATGCACTGCTGGAGTTTTCGTGTTGTTTGGACTCGCTGCTATTGAGATCAGATGAAAAATGGTATTTAAAAGAAAAAAAAAAAAGACAAGTTTTACCATAACTTTAAACTCCTGACACCAGAGCTGTGTAATACAAGCTTGTGAAAATCCTGTCTTGGAGACTATTCCTCGGGTTTACTTTTTTTCTTAAATATGCCATCAGTGTGTTTCCAAGCAGATCAAACTATATCTCTTCCAGTGAGTCAATTATAGATGATACGAAATTAAGGAAGCTGGACTGTACTTGTAGGTCTTGAGGCTGCTATGGCTATGGCTTAAGGTTTTATGGAAGGAAGAACTTGCTCAGAAGCACATTTGTAGGTCTTGAGGCTGCTATGACTATGGCTTAAGGCTGTGGTTTTGTGGAAGGAAGAACTTGCTCAGAAGCACATAGGAATTTACTGGGCAATTTTAGTGTCTCTGTTGTATCTTAGCAGGTAATCAGCAATCCGTGATATAGTAGTTACTTCCTGGTATTTGTGGTCTGTACTAAGCAAAATAGTTGAATTGTTGTAATCTTGTAAGCAAATGGCACAAGTTTCAGATGTACCATGTGCTTTGAGCATCTTTCAGTTTCAAAGCAACAAGCATACTCACCAGTTCTGGAACTGAATCAGTATATAACACTAGTTGCCCAGGTTTATATGTAAGAATTTATTTGAAGAAGCTTATGGGTGTCCACAAAAGAAACTGTGTGTAAAAGTTGTCGTATGTGTGCTGCGTTGGTCTGTTTGTGCCTCCTCATTTTCTGTTGGTTTGCATTGGTGTTTTAACAAGAGCACTTTTGACCTGTCGCGTAGCTTTTCAGAGTTGTAACGTTTTTAACATGTTAGAGGAAAGTGTGCGCGTTTCTTCCTGTTTGGTTTTGTCAGGCTTATCCTTATTCTTAATTTATACATATTTATAAAAGTATTACTGTCCAGGATAGAGCTTTAAGGCAGTAAAATAGCATATAATAGTGAATGCCTTGTGAACAGCCTAGAAAATGGCAATGAAATCTATTTGATATCTTGAAATGTCTTTCTCTTATCTCTTTTTTTTTTTTTCGCCCTATAGATACACCCAGTATCACAGCTAAATTGATTAATGAACAGAAAGAAGATAAGGAAAAAAAGAACTATGAAGAGAAAGAAAAAGTTAAAGCAGAAAATGGATTTCAGGACAATTACAGTGTTGTTGTTGCTTCTGGTACGTCTTTTATTCTATCTGCTGAAAAAATGATTTCTCTGAAATCAAATGCAAAAAAAAACCCAAAAAACATATCAACCAATCAATCTTTTTTTTTTTTTTTTTTTTTTTTTACAAAAAATATGGGGAAAAAATTTTTTTTAAAGATGATGAGCAAAAACTGTCTTGCTACTTGGCTAGCTGGTTACCAACAGCTTTGCTGTTTGAAGCACTCCTTCTGATGAATTATGTGCTCAAAAATCATACTTAAATGGGCACAGCTGTGGTGTGCTGTGAATACTATGGCTAATGCATATAACAGAATTTTGAAGTGCCATATCTTTGTGGTGGCTAGCATGTTGGAATTTGATCACCCACTCCCACGGTGTGGTTTTGGGATATAAAAGGGTTCTCATGCTTTGCATGACAACTGCTAGAATCTGTCAGATGGATAGTATGTATAAAACCATGTTATTCCACCTGGAAACTGCAAACGGAGGTTTTTAACTCTAAAAAGTGGAGGAAATCATTCATGTAAACCTGTTGTCTCCAGAAATGGTAGGGAGGTTGTAGTTGAACATTGCAACAGCGGTAAAGAAGGTTTTACACTTCAGATGATGGCTGCAGAGATGATTACTCTTTCAGTTTGAAGTTCTAGTATGTGAGTGAGATTAATGAACTTGAAACTATCCTACCTCTCTGCTTTTATAGAGCTATCTCAATTTCATCTACACTTCATGAAGCATGAAGAAGAGATGCTGATTTCCTTTGACTTCTGGCCCCAATGTTTCTCAAGGTTTTTATTTCAGGATTTTAGATGTAGATACAATTCCAAATTCAAGTGTTTAATAGAGCAGTTATTTCACTGATCTTCGCGTGTGTCTAAAGCAACGCAGTCAATCTAGTAAATATAAGATGCACTAAAGGGTGCATCTTTATCTGGAAAAGTGTTTCCAGTAGCTGCCACTTAAGCAGGGTAGATATGTTTTGATAAGACCTAAAACCCTTCAAGTGAAGGGTTACATGAATAAAGAAACCAGGAGAAAAAAAAAATTATTTCAAGATTGAAGAAATAGCACAGCATAGCCAGCCATGTGTTATCCCAGTCCTATCTCAGACTATAAGGACTGATATACCTCATTCCCTTTTTAGAAAAAAATAGACTTTCTGTTTTCATATATTATATTTTGTACTGTTTAAATATCCTCAGAGATTCACCCAGCCAGTGTTTAACTTGTTCCTTTTTTGTAAAACTAATAGAGATTAGAAATGCCATTTGGGGCCTGATCTCCTGAGAAGAGCTAGTGTAGCAGACTGAGATGATCAGAGGATGTGCTGAGTGTTATAATTTGTCTCTACTGAACAGATAAAATCAACAGTACAGTATAACATTTCAGGTGGGGCTGTCCTTAACATTGCAAGTTCTTTTGGCTGCTTATAAGGCCATATTCACTGTGAGTCCTTGTATATGGAGCCACCTACCCATTGACTTTTCCTTTTATTTGGTCTGTCACCTCCATGGAAGTATATGATTGTGGTATAGTTTGAGCAAGCCAACTTAAACTATTCAAAATATGACAGTCTTGCTACACAAGCTCAGTAAGATTTTTGTCTACCTCTGCTGCCTTTTAATTTTCTTGTACTTCAAAGGTTTTGACATGGGCAACCTTAAAAGTAATTTTATTGTATGTGCTGGTATCAGAACTGCAGCTGAAGTCACCTTGGTAAACCAGGCAAGTAGGAAGTGTGCTGAAATATCTGTCAGAAAAAGTTCAGGAACTTTTTCCCTTATTTGCCTTCAGCTGAAAAACCAAACTAAAAGATTTTACTATAGTGCTTATTAGTGCCTGCTGTTTAAGGGAGAATCAGAGGAGTGTTTTGTTTGTTTGTTTGTTTGTTTTTATGGATGATATGATTGAGTACAGTTGTGTTTGGGGCCCAGGAGGATCCACAACCTTGTAAGTGTTTAACAATAGTGGGATTAGATCCAAATGGGTTGTATACCTGAATGCTTCTCATCTTATTTGATTCGTCTGGGCTGAGAATTTGGATCTTTATCTTAGCATTGAAGACCTTCAGTACATTGCATCTTGGCTAAGTGAAGTTATTAAGTACAAGAATAAAATGGATTTTTTTTTACTTTTATACTAGGTTTGAAATCTCAGTCAAAAAGAGCTGTTTCATCCACTCCCCCACGCCCACCGTCAAGGCGAGGAAGAGTGATGGCAGATAAAGTAGGAACCTCTTCTTCAGGAGGAGAATCTTCCAGCAAGACCATTAGTGTTCCAGTCTTTCACCTATATCATAAACTTCTACCAGGTAACTTTAACTTTAATTTCTGGTGGTATTTCTCAAAAGTTGGCATGTCATTAGAAAGTAGGTGCAGTGCTGATCGACTCTGTATATATCTGTTCAGCCTTGTGTAGGGTACCATTGTGCTTGGTCATTGCTTTCAACTGAAAGTGGAATATTGTAACATTGTTGTAGCTTGATCAAAATACCGATCATGCTGATCCTCCTTGAAGTTGAGTTGCTAAACAAGATCTACGGGAAATATTCCCCTTCAGCTGAGGAATAAAAGGGCTTTTTTTGTGAGGTAACTCACATTTTTTTGAGCTGCAAGTCAAAATTAACCAACGTTTTGCCCCGTTATGTCATGAGTGGGTGACCAACATCTATTGCTGTCTCGTGATTTGCCAATTCTGAAACATTCTTGAGTGAATTCTATAATACCTGTGTCTTCAAAAACAGCATATCTTAAGATTAAGTTTGTCATGTTTTCCTGTAGAGCAGGTATGTACTCAGGATTTATCAGCTGTCTGGAAAAGCTGTCCTCGTTTGGTGGCAAATTTGTAGTTGTGGCACAGATCACAGGAGTAATAAACTTTAGTGAAGAAGCATCACCTGTTACAGAACTATTATTTCAGGAAAACAAGAGTAGGGTAGCATTCACCAATAAAGAAATTCTTCTACAGAGAAGAGGACTGGTGTGACTGGAATTCTTAGCTTTAGAAAAGGGGATAAGTACAGGAATATGGATAAAATATTTTAATGTTATTTAGAAGAGTTTCACATCTATTTTGTTTTATAAAAGCAAGGAGGCAGCTAGCGAAAAAAAGAGGCAATCTTCTAATTTAATTTATTTTCACCCAGTACAATATTGATTTTTTTTCTTTTTCTCCAACTTGGCCATTTTACCTTATGGTCACTCACTTTTATGCTACCACAATCCAGGGATGATGAAGGAATAACATTTAATAGTAGTGGGCAGGCAGTACATGCTTAAAATGCTCAAATTACAGCCATTGCTTTTTACTGCTTTTGCCAAGTGCTTGAGCTTTTGGCACAGAGCTGCCTTAGGGAATGTTCGCCTGGTTCTTCAATAAGCTCTTCCAAACCGATGGGGCCCTTTTCCCCAAGGGAATGAATATTAAAAGTAAGGCTTTGGTGTAGAGCCAAATACTATTTAGTCTACTTGGCATCTGCGGTACAAGTAATGAACAGCACCTGCACAGCCATGTTAAAATAACCCAATCATAATTTTCTGCTTTGACTTGATCCCAATGTTGTTTAGGCCAACCATTACCAGCTGAAATGACACTTGCCCAGCTTCTAACTCTGCTGTACGACCGTAAACTCCCTCAAGGCTACCGATCAATAGATTTGACTGTGAAGCTCGGTTCCAAAGTCATCTCAGATCCAAGCTTATCAAAAACGGACTCATTTAAACGACTGCACACAGAAAAGGGTGAGTACTTTGACTTTTTTGGGTATCTTCTGTTTTAATATGCTTTTAATTTGAACAAAAATGGTGTTTTCTTTTTTCTTGGTGAGAGGTACCATTATTTTATGTTTTCTTGGGTGGTGTTCTCGCATTGTTCACCAAAGGGCAAGTGCTAAGTTTTCTGATAGTGGATGAATTCATAGCCTGTGTCTTAAACTGTGTTCAATAAGATCTACTAATATAGTTGTTCTTGTTTCACCTGTTTCTTCACTGTATTGTTAGGAATGATGATGATGTTTGATTGGATAGATACATACAACTTATTTCTTGATGTGTATACCAGTTCTTAGAGGTTAGTATTTATGCTACTACCTGCAGACTAAGCAATGCAGAACCATGTGTTTGAAGCTGTGTCTGTTGCTGAAACCTGTCAAAATTTTAATTACAGCAACTCAATTACTTCCATGCTTCTTTATTAAAGGGAATTCTTCTCATGCCCTGAAGATCTCATAATTTTAGATTTAATGCGTTTTAGTGCTTTTAAATATTATCCATTTCTTGTTAAAGTTTTTCTAATTGTTTGCTAAACAGTCTGCACATACTGTGTTTTTTTGTTTGTTTTGGTTTGATTTTGCTTTTTTTCGTGGAGGGAGATGACAACTATATCCAGGGAGTCCGGGTTGAAGTATTTTGACATCCTTCGTTTACGGAAGGAATTGGAGGAATGAAAATTGAAATTAAGCTAAGGTGGTCTGCTGATTTCCTGGCTGCTGACACAGCTTGGAATCAGGAAGTTAATCATTTGATTACTCTGATTACTTTACTGATTACAGGCTTCTGGTTAAAAAGTGTTCTTTAGATGGGCAAGTATATTTCTAGAAAACATTGAGTAGAGTTGAAGAAAAGGGAAAAGAAAAAAAAAAAAGAAAAACAGCCAAAAAACCTATGTGCTGGCCTGCTGGTCTGAGCTAAGTGTTTTCCAATTGCACGTAATGGCTTTAAAAGGTAAGATCTGCATAAGATCTTTCACATTGAGGGGCTTCTGTCTTACATACACAGTTTTATTATCTTTTGTGTTGTGGTGGTTGTTGTTTATTTAAATTCAAACCTATAAGACTTTTTTTCTGTTGCTTTAATGAAACTAAAAGCGATCATTTGAGGTTTGGTTTAATAGAGTTCCATGTGAAGACAGAGGCCTTCCTAGAAATTTTATTGGATTGCTAGACTTCCTTTATTGAATTTGAGACTAATACTTTTGCAAAAATGCCTTTGTTATTGCACATCTATTGAGTTGTCATTCAGTAGAAGAAAATCTTACAGCTATCATGGACATGACTTTCATCAGATTTTTCTAGAGCTCTATTAAAGCTTTTCTAGATTAATGTTTTTTCACTTACTGCTTAAAATACTGCCAAGAGCCATGGTGGATAGATTTTGTAGCTAAATGTGATGTCTGGAGAATGGCATTTATTACTGCTATACTTGACAAAAATGTTCTGTTTGTGTGAGTCAACCTAAGGAGAAGCCCAGGCCTGTAAGGTTAAGTGTAATTCCTTGCAAGAACGTTCGCTAGATGAGAGGACTAGCAGTTTGCACCCCTAATAGATAGATCTACCTCTGCCCTTACTCACTAATATATATTCTTACAGCACCTTTTATTTTCTTAGTTGCATTTTTGATGTTGACATGCACCTGTCTTTTTTTCTTTTCCTTCTTCAGAGAGATTTGCAGCTTTTCAAATATTTTTAGCAAGAAAATCTGCCTTTTCCAGAGGTCAGATCTGTTGGCGCGAGCAGTTGAACTGTAAATACGGTTCAGCCTAGCGTGGTGCAGTCCCTCATTTGACTGATAGAAGGCAGTCCAGCGTGTTCAAAACCCTCTAGAGCTGCTATCTGTGGTCATGGAAAAAACTTTACAGAGCAGAAACTTTCCATGTTCTTAACAGCAGTATATGTTTGGAGTCTTTCTTACAAATATTTTCCTGCTTTGGAAATGTCGGTGAGCTTTTCTGTTTTCTCATAGTCCTTCAGACTGAGTTAAGAGTTGGTTCACATCTCAGAGTGAAGAGATATTGGGACCATCTCATCTGTGTGCAATTCTCACATGAGTATGCTGTGAAAGGTTTGAGGAGAATTGCCTTAGTGTCTAAAAATATTATCTGCAGTATAAAGCCTTTAGATGAAACACACTTAATATTCACTGTGAAGCTGGCCCACAGTAATGAGCAAAGAGGGTTGTTTTTTGGTGAAATATATCATGGCAAGGTTCTATATATAAAATTTGTGTGCATCAATGTGTAAAATGAGATTTTTCTTAAATCTATGGCACAATATATGCAATATATTAAGGTGCTTAGTCATGAGCTGGGAGGCTATTAGAAGGTTAAAAATAGAGGTCTTGTTCTTTTCTTTGTAGAGAAGAATAGGATTAAAGAATTTTTAACAGATTTAACATGGGCATTTTTGTACTCAGAGAAGAAGTATGAGAATTACAGGTTTAGGCTTGGCTGGGCTTCTGATGGGAAAGGTGAAATTAAGAAATTTTCACAGACCAGTTTTTGTAAAATTATTCTTCCTTTCTTCAACTATGAATTATTTATCGCAATCCTTGCACTGATGCATTTCAGGTTCTTGATTCAGGTTCTGCTGAAGAAGTAATTGCTACATTTGAAGCTCATTTTCAGGTGAAGGAGGAAACAAACATGACACTGATGACGTTGTATTAACTTCTGTTTGCATCTGTTTTTATAGAACATGCAGATTTATTGGGACCTTGCCCTGAAGATGAAGCAATCAGCCCTGGTGATGAGTGTATGGATGCGGTGCTGGATGAATCACTTCTTGAAACGTGTCCCATTCAGTCTCCACTGCAAGTTTTTGCAGGAATGGGTGGATTGGCCCTCATTGCAGAGAGACTCCCTATGCTTTATCCTGATGTGATTCAACAAGTGAGTGGAAAAAAAAAAAAGTGTAGGAAAGCATGCTGAGACAATCCCCCACCTCTTCCTTTTCTAAAACAAATGTTTTTCCCATATGAGTGGGTGCATCCTTCCTGTGGAACAGAAGTGTGAATTCAGTGTTAGTGCAGGCCTTGCTGTTCTTAATTCATAAGAGATAACTGGTGGTTTTGTAGGATGGTGAAGTAACATAAAGTGGCTCTTCCACGAGGCCCTACTTGCTTATCATATAAATTGCTCGGTGTTGGTAAAGTAAAATCCAGTTCTCAAATCATGTGGATCATGTAGAGTTTCCCTTTGGGCCAGTGGTAGAGTTTACAAAAGCGTCAACAAGGACATTAGCCTGCAGTAGGTGCTTGGGCTATTCTTCTGTGTTCAAGAGCCACCAGTATTGTAAAGGGAAAAATAATCACTGAACTATTCTAACTTGACTTGCCTGTATTTTTTCTAACAGAAAAAAAATGGCTATTGCCTCTGACATTAAATTAATCATGAGTAAAGTGTACTGTTCATTTCCTTAACTGCTAACCTATAGCTAGAATGGTAACCCTGTGGTTAGCCCAGGTAATTAATATGTATCCTTGGCTAATGACAATTCAGTACAATTCAGGAAGAACTTGCTAGTTACTGATGAAATGTTATAGAGAATAGTTTCCTGATGATATGTTAGATGTGTGATGTCAAGCCTCTTTAAGAAGTGAAAATTAAGGGAGTGTGTTTGTATGCAGTTGTTATATTTTGAAATCCAGCAAGCTAACATGTATTCTGCATAAAAGGAGACTGATTCATAGAATCCTGTAGCAAACAAAAGGCGATTTATGACCGAGTCATTTGATCCCTTTTTCTTCCTTTTTCTGCAGTCTTGGGAAGATATATTCTGTAACTGTGTTTTTGTTGGTTTGTCTGTTTTTGTTTGTATGTTTTGAGATAAAAATTTGCATTCAAATATTTGATAATTCTGTGATTCATGAAAAATACTTCAAGTACAAATAATTCTAAATGGAAGATTCATGGTTATGACTTATAAATTATCCAGCTTCTTTGTTCCTCCGTTCAACTTCTGTCTTTGTTTAGGCCAGATATTTCTGATTCTGTGAATCAGAAGTTCTGTGTGTTTTAAGATTTGCTTACTTATTCTCCTAGCATGTAGGAAACTGGAATCCATGCAGCTAAACATGATTTTGGCGCCTAATTGGGAATTTGGGTTTCTGAATAAGTCCTTAAGGACTTTTCATCTTAAATCTTCTCCAGGTTAGGTTATTTTAGTGGTAATTTCTCTTTGAAAATATGTAACTGCATCTTCTTAATGCAAGCATTACATCTTACATTTCTTTTAGTAAGTGACATCAAGATTAAAAAAAAATCCCATGTGAAGACTGTAGAAGATTTTAAACATAGATAGGAAAGATGACTTGAGAAATACTATTCTAGCCTTTCTTGTGTTTAATGCTCTATCCTCAGGGTATTAAAAAATACCAGATCAAGCAAATGTTGAAAAGAAAATGGAAATGTGCTTGGGAGCTGACGGGATAGAGCTTACAAAAAAGTCACCACTGATCATTCTTTGATATAAGAAAATTTATGTAGAATCATGGCAAGTAAGACATTCCAGATTTACTGTGTGCTGTACTACACGTCTTACCTTTGGCCAACATCTTGTAAGGCTCTTATTTCTTTGGATTTTGAGGTATTCAGGGTCAAGCTCTGCCAGCGTTTGCTTGAAGAAGAAATCAGAGGGAAAAAAAAAAAGTAGGCAAGTAGCTGATATGGTCGTTCCTGGCTTAGTAGGAAGCATTTTTCCCCTTCAGTCAGCTCTTTTCAGAATTATATTTACAGCTGCTGTTTAAAGGTATGTTAAAATATATGAAAGTAGGGACTAATTCTGGCCTGAAAGGCACCTATTCTGGGCTTGCCTTTTCTCAGGATTAGGCTTCCGGTTTGGCAGAAGAGAATGAATAGATGAAAAAACTCTTTGAAAAGGCAATTCCATCACCTTGCTGGTCGCGATGGCTCTGGTGCACATCAGCCCCCTTGGCTGAGCTCGCTGAGCCCGTTGCACTCATTTCCCGCACCCCACCGTGCCCTTCATCCTCTCACTTTATGAATCAATAAAGCAGTTTTCTGGTCAGTTAGTGGTGCTGATTCAGCTCCAAGGAAGCAAGACCAGCTCCACTCAGTAGCTCTGATTTGTCCCTTTGGCTTGGTTGAAGTTTCAACCTAAGCATTTGTCTCATCAGCAGCCATCAGACCAGACATGAATCTTACCCTGTCCTCTAAAGTGTAATGTAAATATTAGGGCTGTTTAAAACAAAAGGGCTCATTCTAGCTACCATTGAATCTTAGGCCTTTCACAATTAGTTGGGTAACAACTTCAGTTGGCTAAGAATGTGTTTCCAAGTGGAAATAGGTTACTTGCTGATAATGACCTTTGCTTATGGAAGTATTCACTCTGTTTTAATAGGAATTAAAATTTTGTCATTCAAACCTGCAGACGATCAGTGTAACACCATACTCTCTTGCAAAGTTTATCTTAAAATGATGAGAAACAGTTACTTCTGCAGCCACTAGGTAGCTAACCTTCTCTCGAGTGCTGTATATGGCTGTCAAGCAGCACGGCCTTGCGCCCTGTGAGGAAAGTGCACTGTTTTTGTTAAATTTGTCAGTGCATGTCCTGTGTTGTTTGGCTCATTGGTGTTTAGAAGGAAGGAAGGGTGGGGAGAATCTAGCTCATGACGCTCTTGTCTTTACAAGTTAAAGCAGCTTCCCTCCTTTTTCCTCCAGTTGCTGCAGCCGCTAATTCAGAGGGGAAGCTTGTGCTCCGCGGTGCCGTCTCACACGAGGGGATCTCGTTTGACTGTTGTTAATTTTTCACAGAACAGCTAGTAAGGAGCATGAGCCAAAGCTTTAGGTTACGTAAACAAGTACTGATGTGAAAATAAATCTGAAAACCTAAAAATAGTTGCATCTGTTCATCTGAATAGCATGAAAGCTTGATGCTTCTGTAGTGTTTAACTAAGTGAGGGACCTGGACATTGTACCTTAGTTTTAGCTGAATGTACAAATGTTTTCTGGGGAACTGTACAAATATCCCCATCACATTGTGATTCCCATCACCATGCCTGGCTGAACAGTTCTCTGTGCAGTGCTAACTTGAACAGAAATGCAGACTGTGGTGTTAGAGCAGATTAATAGTGAAATCCACCCAATACTCAAAAGCTAGAAAGGAACACAAAGGAGTTTCTACCAGACTGCTAAGACAACCAAAAGTTGTCTTAATTTTTAAGCAGTTATGGTTTATTGATCTTCTCTGATACAGAATTAAAAATAAACCAGTTCAATTCTCACTGTGATAAATGTTCAGAAAAAAACAGCCATTTTTATTTAAGCAGCAGGTATATAAAGTATATTTTTAATTTCAGTGTGATCTCCTGTGCATCCATATTGACACAGCAGCTTTTAACTGAGCATTTTCATTGATGAAAAACACTTGCTTATTATGCTCACCTATTCCAGGAAGGTGAGACTTCCTGGAATGGTTTTGAATTGCAACACGTGTCCCCTTCTTAGGCATTTCAGTCAGTGCCTATACCTGCAAAGGGCGGTGAATCTCCTGCAACATTTAAATTGTGTTCTGTAGTAGGATTGCATGCTACTTACATCCCAATTTTAATAGAAATTCTGCCTAGGTGCCTGCCTCACTAACTACACCGATGTTGCTTGTTTTTATGATTTAAGGTGAGCACTCCGGTGGTTACGTCGACCGCGCAGGAAAAGCAGAAGGACAGCGATCAGTTCGAGTGGGTTACCATTGAGCAGTCGGGGGAGCTGGTGTACGAAGCACCAGAAACTATCGCTGCAGAACCTCCACCCATCAAATCCACAGTTCAGACTATGTCTCCCATTCCTGCACATTCTTTGGCTGCCTTTGGCTTATTTCTCCGCCTCCCTGGCTATGCTGAGGTGCTGCTAAAAGAACGGAAACATGCTCAGTGTCTGTTGAGATTGGTGTTGGGAGTTACAGATGATGGTGAAGGAAGTATGTGCTGCGATTATTATGTTTCTTTGTAGACCACAGCTAGATTGCTTTATTTAAAATCATTTACAGTGTAATGCTTTAGCGGACAGTTACAGTCGGTTTTGTGCAATTTACAGAACTGTGTTGCTAATATCCTTGCTACTGTGTCTCAATATTGAATCCTTTCTGGTAAAGTTCCGGGGAGATCATCAGTATTCCAGAGCTCTCATCTAGATGTCAAAGTAATTGTAATATAACTGCTTCCAGCCCTTGCCCAAGGCTCTCCGACAAGATGAGAGTGTGCTCGGACAGAATGATCTGAGCAGCTCAGGACATTCATCTAATTGAGCAAAGCTTTATATTCCTGAAACCAAATGCAAAATAACCCACATAGGAGCATAGCTGCAGCAGCAGTAAACTGTTGAGAGAACTTTCCAAAGAGCATTTTGTTCAAAAGAGTTTGGATGGAAATTTAGCTTAATAATGTGAAGAAAGAGAAGGAGAAAGGGCTAATGGTGTTCTTAGATGTATGAACGGATGCAGAGAAGTAATACTGATTTGCAGCCAGTGTTTTTGCAACCAGACCTGTAAGACTGCATTTTTTTTCTAATAATTTTATTTCTTAAAGTGATTGGAAAAAATGAACCAGTGAAAAGTGCCATAAGTGCTTTTCTTTTGTCATGTCCTTGAAAAGAATGCTTTTTTTTAATATGCAGCACTCAACTGAAGTTAGTTTCTATTCAGCAGCTTATAGTGGACAACATGTGTTAGCTCTTAGTACCGAGAGCTTTCCCTGCTGTCCCTTCTGCTTATCTCTTTATTTCTCCTATATTTAGGTACAATATAGGAGACAGCAATAAATTGGATGACAAAAACTATGTCTGCCTGGTTACTCCAATCCCATTTGAATAGTAATTGCCTGACAGATCGTATATAGTCACTCAGGTTTTGATGTCCTTGAGTGATTCAAGTTCCTTGCTGTTGCAGGCACTATTTTCTATTTTGATTTTATGAAGAAATCAACCAACACAAACCTTTGAATGAAGAGTCTTGATTGATTGCCTGATTTCTGTTTGTAATATTATTGGCATCCAGTTATTATTGTGCCAGCATTGTTCTTCCTCTTAAATAGCTCTTCTTTTTCTCATGTATTTGTTGACAGGAATTGTATTCTGTCTTAGCCTTTGTTTTGCTGGATGAAGTAGTCAGTGTCTTCATTCCTTGCACTACAAAAGTTTATATCCCCATCTTTACCCAAGATGGACTGTTTGGTAAAATCTGTACTCCGCATTAGATCCCTGTGTAATGCTTTAATATTTCCCTTTTCTGCTGGAAATACATCTCTTCATACAACTAAAATCACCTCCTCTTTCTCCCATAATATGAAAATAAGCACTTTAGATGCCTACAAATGCTTTTAGAAAAAAAGTAATTACTTTCTGCTCCTAATGCAAAGAGGATACAATTTTAAAATAATTCCAGTACACAATACAAAATTGCAGCTCATCTGCTTTAAGTTATGTTAGTATTTCACCATGTATTCAACTTGATTAGCATCACAACCTGAATTCTGTGCATTCTTTAACTTGCCCTAGTTGTAACATTTGGGAGGGGTGGGGGGAGAAGTTTGAACCACTTTTGTTCTCTTCGTTCAGAAGTATGACCTAAAGTGTGACCAAATGCATAATTTTACACACTATTGGTAACAAAGTAAATTTTCCCCTGGGAATGGAAGATCAAATTTTCATAAATTTTATAGTGTTTGCTCTTACACGAGTCTTAGGAGAATGTAAAATGCCATTTTCCTCTATAGTCTTTTCCTACCAAAAGATATTTTTCTTAAGAGATGGCTAACATTAAAACTTCTTGCTGTAACTGAATGTTTAAGACCACAGTATATTTCTGTATATATTATGAAGCCCCAAGTATATTTCTATATGTATTATGTAAAAATCATTGCAAAGATTAACTGGCTGCCTTGAACTATTGAAGGGAGAAAAAAAAAAAGTGATTTCGATGTTTCCTTCTTCAACGTAGGTCACATCCTGCAGTCTCCTTCGGCCAACGTGCTCCCCACTCTGCCCTTCCACGTGCTGCGCAGCCTGTTCAGCTCTACGCCCTTGACTACTGACGACGGGCTGCTGCTTAGGCGCATGGCCCTGGAAATTGGGGCCATCCACCTCATCCTCGCTTGCCTGTCTGCTCTGAGCCACCACGCGCCCCGAGTGCCCAACTCCAGCCCCAACCAGGCAGAGGTGAGCTGAACAAAGACCCGCGGGAGAACGGCCGCCGCCGAGTAGGGACAGCCTTGTCTACAAGGAAGAAAATCCAGCTGCTTTCATAGCCTAATCTTGGTGGAGCAGGCGTTTGAATGGAGAATTAAAAGTGGTTAGAAAATACTTGATGTAGTAGTTCTGCCTTCCTTTAATACAGCTAACACAGTAACCAAGAAATTTGCCCAACAAGCCAGGCTTGCCGTGAGGTATTAGGGGGTAATCTTTTAATTGAAAACATACCAGTTTCCTTCACAAGACCCTCCTTCTCATATGCTCCGTGGGTGGTTGTTCTTTTTCTTAATCCTCGCTAGATGGTGTGACCTCATTACCTTAATTAGCGTGCATCATCTAAATTCTACAAATTGCTTCCTCTTAAATGCCTCAGAAGTGTAAATGAGTTGTAAGAATTAATGAATAAATGCATCATTTTTAAGCCCCTTTTAATAGATGAGGAAATGAGGAAATGGGATCTTGAGACAAAAATAATCTTCCATAGCATTTAGTCTCCTAGTGAACCCCAAAATTAAACATCGTCAGAGTACTTGCCACCGTTCTGCTACCCACTACTAAGAGCATGTTGGCCACTGATTTGTTAGGATGATGAGTTCCCAATGTTGCATGACAGACGCTTGGCTCAAAATGTGTGTGTGTGTGTGTGTGTATATATATATACACACTTATTTTTAATAATAACTTACCCTCTGTAACAAATCTGTGGCAAGGGGTTGCACAGAACAGTTCCTTGTAGCTAAGTATCGCTAAATGGTTGCAAAACGGAGGGCTGTCTGTATTTTAGCAGCTCCTGATCCTGACGAGGGGAAGAGCAAGGAATAGGTGAAACTGAATTAATTCATTTTATTGGCTAGTCAGATTTGAGAGGAAGCTGAGATACCCTGCTCGTAATTGGGTATCAGGCTGCTGACACATTGACATCTTAGCATTATTGGCCTTTTTTAGGAAAAGGGCAACTGTTAATTCTTCTGCTTCAGTTTTATCATGTTCCCTGGAACAGGTTGTCTTCACATCATTCATATCTGTTAGGTGAGAGATGGTAACCTGAACTAGAGGTCCATCAGCCTGCACCGAGGCATATATCTCTGAGGCAAAATTTTCCCTTAAGTGCTTTAAGTCAGTGCTCATGATAATCCTCTTGAGTGTTAAACATACAGCATGTGCACGAGTGGTAACATCTGCATGAGAATAAACATGCTCCTGTTTAATCGCTGACGTGTATTGCATTTGGAATTAGTGATTCCAAAGCCCTGTCAACATGGTACTTCACAGGTGATACCTTTTTTGCCATTGCAGTCTGTCTGCACATCATTTTTGTGTTCCTTCAAATATATTATTGAAAAGCACTGAAGAAAATCTGAACAGAAAATGAAACTTTTCAGAACCTTGAATCAAATTTTACAAATTAGACTTGGTCACCTACTTAAGTGACCTACTTTCTGGTAAACCTAATTGCTACTGAGTAATGCTAACGAAAGCAGCAAGTTCTCACCACTGGAAAATCAGGTCAAATGTCTAGGGCCTGAAATACATATAAGTAAAGCGCTAGTTAAAGGGGGTTCATCAGAGAGCTTTTGTTTAATAAAGGTTAAATGGTGTGGTCAAAGCTAGAAATTAACTTAAATATTGAAATCATTTCATAAGCGCTAAATGTGAGAGTATTAAATTTTATTAGTAAAGTGCAATGATGCAAACCATTGGAGTAAGCTGTCCAAGCATCTTAAGAAAAAAAGTGATGAAATATCTCCTAGAACACTTCAAGTACAAAGTATTTTTGCCTTACTATCTGGAGAGGAAATGCAAGTGTGTGTTTCAATGTTACAGAAATCATCTGTCAGAGAGAGAGATGTAATTTGTCTGTTTGGAATACATTTCAAAATCAGTGCATTGTTAAGCATCATAACATCTCAGACATGTACAGAAATACTTTAAATGATATTTATGTTTCCATCCCCTTCATCTGGTTATGTTCCTAAGTTTGTCTAGGTATTACTAAGTCTAATTACAGAACTGTGTTATTTAGCATGATGCTGATGAGATACTGTTTTAATATCTACCATGACTTAAGAAGTAAGAGTATTTTTAAGGACAATAAAAATGGGCTTGCAGTCCTAATCAAATTGAAAATCACTTGCAACAATATAGCCTCCTGTCCTATATTGAAATTCCGTGTCTATGCAGGGGTTTCCTGTCTGCAGCATGCAGTTCTGCTGGATAATGATGATGATGATGTTTGTAAAGTTGTCTAATTGAGCTGATATTCTTTTGGAGAGCAAATTTAAAGAATTAAGAATTTAAGAACTGGCTAATAAGATCTGAAATATGAAATTGTGGTGACCTGTTTTTTTTTTTTTTTTTTCTAGCCACAGGTGTCAAGCACACACAACACTGCATCGACAGAAGAACAGCAGTTGTACTGGGCTAAGGGAACAGGCTTTGGAACGGGCTCCACAGCTTCAGGATGGGATGTTGAACAAGCTTTGACTAAGCAAAGGCTAGAAGAAGAGCATGTCACCTGCCTTTTACAGGTGTGTAATAATGAAGCTTTGGTTGGTAAACACTTGAAGTTTTAGTCTTGGGTAGCAAAAACAGAGCCTGTACTTCTTCAGTCATCTAGCACAGTAACTGTGGTATTTTCAGCAAAAGATGACTTACAAGCTGCTGTCCACATGAAAAATGGTACAGATCATTTTCTGAGAGAGGCTCGTTTTAACTTCACTAGACTACTGCATTAAAAAGTCTGGAATGGGTAAGCTTCAGTGACAGTTCTGAATAGTTAGTGAACCAATAAGCATTCCAGTATATTTTTCTGGAGACATCATACATTTTTGTCAAGATAGCTGCATTCAGTCAACAGGCCCATTAGAGAAGAAGGATGTGGGAACAGACTTTGTTTTTTATGTCTGCAAAATTATCTTATCTATTCATTTTTCACATATTTTTGTTCTACTTTAAGAAAATGCCCATAGTTGTCACTGAAGTGACACCAAGAATGTGGTGTTATGCCAAAATAATGAAATGCTATAAGTAAAATTCCTGTTATGTCACTTAACTGACAGTATTGTCACCAGTAAGTATCTCCATCTTAACGGAAGTCTGATCCTTTCCAAATACCTCATAATAGGGAGCAAAACATCCTGCACTTGTAGGTCTTCAAGTCCAGTTGCAAAATTCAACCAACTCCTCATTTCTTAGGCCAGTGTAGGGAAAATGAGGTTTTAACTAGTCATCAAAATCTTAACTGTCTGAGCTGTCAGCTCAAAAGCACAGCTGACCTCACTGCTGGTTTAGAGCACAAAGGAGATGAAATTCTGAAGAAACTCATTCCCCAACAGATGAAGATACCATTTTGGTACACTCAGTTATTCCGGTCACTGTAGATTATAGGAGACATGCCTCTTGCAAAAGCATAACAAATAAAATCCAAAGCCATTTTCCTAAGCAAAAGGGAGAGCAGAACACCTGAGTTACTCCTGGTGAGGCTTCCAGGCAGTGTTCTGTATTATGCCATGCAGAGGTTTAGCTATTAACCTTCATGAATCATGAGGAAAGTAGGCATTTGCTTTGGGCAGTCAGCGGCCGGATGGAGAAGCAGAAAACCCTTCAGCACTTTGCTGAATACATCAGTCAGTTGTATAGCACTTTCCCTTATCCCTTCTCCAGAAATGTTCCTTAGGAAAATTGTATTGTGTAGAGAGTGCTGGTAAGATATTGCAGCAGATAAATGGATAATGGGGTTAGGGCAAAGGAGATGAAAGCACGGAGAAGAGGCTAAAAAAAAGGAGCATATAGCCCCTAAGAGAGCAAATAATACAGCCTTTCAAGCCTTGAAGTTTCTTGCTTTGAGGGTTTAACCACACAAATCAGCCACATGGAAGTACACTGTCATACGTTTACAGCACATGGTAAGGGCTTGTGGCTCAGCAAGAACAGAGAATTGGGAAGAGCAGGTGAGCAAATCTGAGGTAACTCCCCCTGCTTTATGGAGGGGACACTGGTTTGTGCTCCCTGAAGTAAGAGCGTGCACTCCAGCTGTTGTCAAGTAACTGTCAGGCTCAGCATCAGCTCTTGTTTCATCTGTCTTGAAGGCCCTTCCAAAGTACATTACACTTTCTTTTACATTTAAGTTGTTGTGAGCTGGCAAACTTGTGTTTTGAGCAGCTCCAGCAGCTTTTACAAACTTTATGTAGAAATCTTGAAGTTATTCAAAATAGTTAAGTTATTTAATTTTATAGTGAACCTAAGTTGTAATCATGATCTAATAACTTTATAGAATTTTGCTCTGAGATATCTTTGAGACTGATGAAGCAAATACCAACACTTGATTAACAAAGTAGCCAGTGAAGTATTTTGGAGCCTTCCTTGAGGAAGGAAAATCAAAGTTCTTTCGAACTAAAGTAAATGGAAATAAATTGGCTTTAGTTATTTTTTGTGTGTGTGTATTTCAGGTTCTTGCTAGTTACATAAATCCTGCAGGGAGTACATCAAATGGAGAGACTCAGAGCAGCCATGAAGGCAGAGGACAGAACAGCAGCGCTCTCCCATCCGTTCTCCTGGAGCTCCTCAGTCAGTCTTGCCTCATTCCAGCAATGTCGTCCTACCTCCGCAATGATTCAGGTAACGCACCAGTGGTGGTCTGCCCTTCTAAAATTTGAAATTTCCTTCTTAAAATTATCTTGAAAACTCTATTTCCAACTGGAAAGTTTGTATTTTAGTTCTTATGTTGACTAGAAGCTACATGGGGAGACGATATTTTAAACAATGGTTCACACGGAAAAGGAAAATGTAAATGTAAAGATTTTCTTGTTAAAGAAAATCAAGCAAGTATGCGTCTGAAGTTAGTAAATGTTGGAAATAGAAATTTTAGAGCAATCCTGTTTTACTGTATGTGATTATTTTGAGCTGTCTCCCCTATAGAGCTGTATCTGCTTTGTTTAGAGAATTTACAAATAAGCCTCTTATCTAAACTGCGGAGTATTTCAAAAATGCGGGAGCAACAAAGTTGCCAGAAGTTCTTTTTGTTTGTTTGTATTTTTTGAGAAGTAACAAATCAGTGATATGTTGTCATCGTGCTTCTACTCCCTCATTTTAAAACAGAGATATTTTGATATCTCTGTTGATAACTTTCATCCAGAACATTGCACGCTATTGTGGAAAGCATTTTAGTTGTATGAGGTAGGGTCAAGCTGTATAAATTAAGAAAATGCCTATGAAGAACTAATGGTAAAACTAAGCAGACTGGGTTTGTGATCATGTGTGGTCACTCAAGGTGAGTGGCTTTTCTGTGAAGTTTCTGGTATGCTTTTGAGCTTTCTTCTTTGCTTGAAAAGTGTTAACCTGAAGTTTCTGAAGTCTGCTTTAGCCTTAGGCTGGATTTTTATTCAGAATTATTGTTTGAAAATATTAACTTAATGAAAAGATTAAATTAATTTAATCGCTATATAGCAGAAGGGGTTGTTAGAAATCTGAGTAATTCTGCTTGTTGAAGTAGCTGATATTGTGGTTGCATCAGTGTAGCTTTTTGATTCCACTTGTTGGGTGTGGTTGTGTGATTTATATTTATTTATTTATTTTAACAACAGTACATGGCAGAATATATTTGACCTCCAGAGGTAGAAGAAAAATCATATACATCTAAATATATGCTCTATAGCACTGAATAGATCAAATACCATGTGGGACAACAAGAGGTGGTGGCTCTTCTAACTAATCTGTAGTAACTAGGGCATTGTGTAATCTTGTGTGATGGAATGGAAGTAGTTCAAAAAGTCCTCCAAGGCCTTATAGTAAAAATAGGAGTATGACAAATGCCTCCCTTGCCAATCCACTTGCCAGTGCTTCATTTGCCAATCCACAGCTTGACATCTCTCTCTAATTTTGTGATTAATTTATTAGTTCTATTTTGCACATAGCAAGGAAAATGAACTGTGTAGCTTTCAACCCAGACTTATTGTTACAAATTAAAATCTGATGTGAAGCAATAAAGTAAATGCTGTCTTTCTAACAAACCTGCCCAAGTTCTTCTGCTGTTGTGGTAGAGAGGAAAGAGCTAACAAGAAGGTTGTCTCATTTAAAGGATGAAGCTGATAGTTCTGGGTTGGCCCTGAATCACAGCTGTTGAAATAGATTTTGCTGTTTTCCAATGGAAAGACATATCTGACTATGCAAGGCACCTTCATCTGGAGAAGAAGAGTCTGGTGCTGCCAGAAGAGATGAGAGATGTGGCTGGTGGGGTGAAACCAAGTTTTTTTTCTCATGACCCATTTATTTTCCTAAAGTACAAGGACATGGAAGCTCCTTGGTGGGAAATGTTTATTTTAGATTTATTTTCCTTTGTGGATTATTTTTATTTGCGAATAGGTGATTTTTTATTTGTTTTTATTTTTATTTGTGAATTTGTGAATAGGCAGAGCTTGCTCAGAAATTGTATCTTGTGCTTATGAATTAACAGTTGATAAAGAATGGACGGAGCAGGTACTTAAACTGCCTTTTCATAAATGGATGTGTGCTTGTAAGTATAATAGCTAAACTATGAGCAAAACCTTGCTTTAAGAGAAAAGTTGTTAGCTGCTGTTTAGATTCACAAAGGATGAGAGTATGTTCACTGGGATTTAAAACTGTAAAACTAAAAAATTGGTATGCGCAACACATTGATCCAAGCAATATAATCCTGAATGCATCCTCATCTATTAGTTCAAAGTTCTGCGGCTAGATCCATAAATAACAAGCCACTACTGCATTTAAATAAATAAAAAAAAAAAACTGCTGCAGGCCTTATATCAGTCAAGCCTGCATTTGAAAACTTAATGGGAGACCTGTATGTGAGGGAAATTTGTAAAAAGGCCTGACTTTGGGAGAGAATGTTTTCTCTTCGTGAATATTTGAGGCAGACGCGGTTAGCTTGAAACGAGCCCCTGAAAACAGTTTGTCTTGGTGAGAGCCAGGCGCGATTCCAGTGCAGTAACTGCTGCCTAGTTCCGCAGCAGACAGATGATCCTCCCCTAACGGGTCGGAGCTGTAGGTGACGCCGGGTCCCGTCCCGCACGGGGCTGCCAGGAGCCGCGGAGCGGAGCTCGGCCGCGGCGCTCGGACACGGGGGAGCCCGGATCCCTTGGGCAGCCCCCCCCTGCCCCGAGGGTTCCCGCTTTGCAGGCAGATGTGGAAGCTGCTTCCCATCCCGGCCCCGATCCTGGTGCCTGGACAACACACGTGAGCAGACTTGATTCTTTCGTGTTAGATTCCTGGTTTTGTTTTGAGCTTTGCTGCTTGGAGGTGCTGTCTCCTCCCTAATACAGCTGAGTACCTGCACAGCAGGAGTCTGAGAAGGACCAGCATTAGTGGTAAAATTCATGTTCTAGTTTTTGGAGCAATTTGCCTTCAGTTATCAGAAAGTGCTTTCGTGAGGAGGAAGCAAGTAACTGTGTTTTTCTGAAACATGCTGCACTGAAAAATAGGACACACTAAGAGAGTGTTGCCCAGTTCTGGCATCCCATCAGGAACAAGGTGTACTGAGCAAATCACTGATGGAAAGCAGCAATTTTCAATGGCTCTAACTTGCTCCGACTTGAGTGGCAGTTAGGGGGAGCATTTAGAGTTTATCCTTGGGTTGGGGCTCTTTTTGACGCAGGTTTCAGGGTTTTCTGTAAACCGTTGCAATGACAATGATCTACATATAAAATGCCAAATCTCAATATGGGTAAACTTGTGTAGGAAGACTTTCTATAAGGAAATATAAGATGCTAGGTTTGCTGTGTACGGGTATTGCACGGTAGGGTGACACCACTGAGACCTTACTAGGTAGATACCAAATCTCTCGGGCCTGAGGAAAATTTTATGTTTTGCTTACATCAGTTCAGTTAGCTATGGATAAGGTGCATCTTGCTTACAAAGTCATTTTGGCAAAAGGCTTGAACGTGCTCAATATCAGGAGATAAAACTGGCCTCTGTCACAGCTAGCAATTTATCCAGGCACTTTTTTTTTATTGCATATATATGC